CCCATCGAGTTAGCCTCGCTAAAGTTTTCAATATACCGAGGTCGCGACCGCGGCTATCGAGCACAACTCTCCTCTCTTCCCACGAGTCAACTCACTTTACTCATTCTTGCGTCCTCTCACCCATACATCACATAGATAACTTGTGCAGACTACCTCATACTTACCTAGCTACCTCGTTAGTGTGGTAGCAATGCGTAGTAACAAAGCAACACAAACCAGTTGCGAAAGGTGGTGACGGCTGAATCTTCGGCTATTGGCAATCAATCCTTCTCGAAATATCATATCATATGTACCAGGCTTGCACCTTCAACGTCCTGCAGAATCTACCCCTTCAAGAAAGAAAGAGTGCCCAGGACAAGACCTTGTGATATATCCACTCCTGCCCTCCAAGGCTGAGTCTGTCGGCAAATCTCTCAGGGGTATGATTAGTCATGCATCCACCATATCGTGACCGAGGTATCAAGTACGATAGGGTGAACAGAGCGTTGGTGACTACGAGGTACGAGGTACTTAACATAGGAGTTTCATTTCATCATTCCCCAAAGCATCACTTCGGGGCTTCAAGCCCAACTATCTCGACTGAAAAGGCCTCCCAAGAACCCCCCCTTTTTGGCCATGGCCGCCTTCTTCTTTGCAACACCCGCTCGCTGGCTCATCTTTTCCTCGCGCACCGTCGGCCTGTAATTGACGGCGTTTCGTCGACTCCCAGTGCCTTTCCTGACAAACTCCTTCTCTTCGCTGGCCCTGCCTCGCTCAGTCTTGCTCGTGACCACCCCGGTGGCAGACACATTCTCGTCGCGGCCAGCCATGCTTCCTAAGCTCGAGTTCGTCGTCGCACGCCGCAGTAGGCTGGGAACCTTGTTGAAGGAGCCAGTGATTGAACTGCTTGCGCCGAAGAACGCCATCTTGGTACTGCCCGAGGAACTGGAGGAGCTCGATGCTTGACGGAGCATGCTCAGCCGGTTGACAACATTTGTCCTTTCTTTGGTCCGTCGTTCCGAGAATGGAGCTCGACTTTCACTGCCAGGTAAAGCAGGCTTTTTGAAGGTCTCCTCAGCGTTGCCGTGCCCATCGTCATCGACAATGAAATCACCAAGATCGTCCCCGTCATCGGCATTCTCATCCGCTTCGGCGGAGTGCACATGTCGATCGAGATCCACGTACGCCTCAGGCTCATCTTCTGAATCTGAAAGGCCAAGATCGATGATCCCTGCCTGCGAATCTGGCTCCTCGATCAGGAATGATACAGATTCTCGAATCTCGGCTAGTGTGGCCGGCCTTCTGTGGTGAAGATTCGTGGTTCCCCTGAATCGTCCAGCCTGATTCAACTTTGACACGGCCGTAACCGCGAGGGGCTGGGCACCACCATTCACTGGGAGATCAGACGGCCGTCCCTTAGCATCACTGTCCTGCTGCGACTCCTGACTGTCTTTTACCTGGGAATCGCCCTCACCAGGCGTTTCCATGGGAAGGAAGTCATCTTCTCCATCGCTGTCTGGCCGATCCTCGATGCTCCGTAGGAAAGCTTCCTTCTTCTTGTCTTCCGCAATCTTGCCAACAGCTTCGTCCTTCAGTAGTTCTCGACGCATTTTGGCAAATTCTCTTCTCTTGGCCTCTCTTCTTCTAACTACAGCATCTTCCTCGTCCGAGAGGTCGAGGTCGTCGTTACCACGCTTCCGCCTCAGTGCACCTGTCGTGATGTCCTTCAGTAACTTGGAAACAGCTGCTTCGTCTTGTTGACGTTCACGATCCGCAAAGAGCTTGGCCAGTTTGGCTGCCTCGCCAACGCCGACCTCCGTATCTTCATCAATCATTTTGCGGTCATCTTCGTTTTCTTCCTCATTCACCTCATCATCACTGGCTCCCCCAAGGCCAGCATACTCATCTTCGGATTCTTCTGCTGCGTCGTCAACCGCCTCTCGTGCGCGTGATTTGTTTTTGTCAAACGCTTCGTAAGACCTCTTTTTGGCTGCCCTTTGCATAACGTCAAAAGCCGATGGATCCCTCGCCTCTGTGAACTCCTCGTCCGACTCATCGACATTGACACGCCCGCGCACGAGCCGGGCCTTTCTCTGCATGATGGGACTGTCTTGCATATCATTGGGGAATATGACCGTATCTAGCGTCGAGTGCGGTCCTGGGTGTAGAGGAGTGTCAGTGGCAAAGCGGTTTCCCCGAAACGGACTCAATTCGTATCCCGCATCCTGTGTTGGTTCGAAATGTGCCTGTGAAGGAGTAACATCCACCCCTTGAAGAGCCGAATGATTGGCTGGGGATTGTGTGACTATTTGAGACTCGGAAAACGACAGTCTGATATCGAGTGGTTGCGTCTGAGAAGCTGGTTGACTGTCGCTGATCATGTCTACCGAATCCAGGCGGTACAGTTTCGGCACCATTGCGATGTTAGGCGATGGCAGGTCCGCGGTCATGGTGAGACTGTCTTGCTCTTGCGAATTCGCCTGAGTCTGACTCTGCGAATCTGCCATTGTCGCAGCAAACGCCTGCGTTAACCCGATTGGAAGGTCGTCGGACATTTGCAGGCCAGGGATCTGCTTTCTCGCCGAACGAGATATGGATGAGGGTGTCTTTGCAGGCGCAGGAAGCTGTGGTGATCGCAGCGTTGCAGGTAAGACTTCTTCATCCTCATCATCACTGACGATGCGGGTTGTTCGGCTTCTTCGTGGCCTGTGATCAGCATTGACTTCCTCGACTCCAACATCCAAATGCTTGTTGTCGTCAGCAGCATCGACTTCTGAGGATGAAGATTCCGCGGAATCCTGTTCGTCAGCTTGACTGTCGAAGAGATCGCCCAGAGTTTCTTCGTGTTCTTCCTCATTCTCAATCTCCTCCTCTTCCTCCTCATCGTCACCGTCTTGTTCTGGATCACTCCCCTCTTCCTCTCCAGAGTCCACATCTAGGTCAACATCCTCGTCTTCAGCAAAATCTTCATCGTCACTTTCATCTTCGTCGTCGAGGTTATCCTTGTTGTAAGTACCCTCCTTCTTAGCAAGAGCTTTTTCGCGTTTCTGAATCTCGACAGCTTCTTGTCGCGCTCGCTCCAAAAGATCCTCCACTTCCTGTTGTTCACGCTCTCTCTCCTCTGCTGTCTGCACTATCACTCCTTTGGCTTTTAATTCTTCAATCCTCTGATCTCTTTCTCGTCGTGCCTGCATCCGAGCTGCCCTTCGTAACGACGCATCCATGTCAGCCGCGGTCATGGAATGCTTGACATCGTCACCAATGAGATTTGCAAGCGAACGCAATGCCAGATGCGACGGAGCCTCCTTGGCTTTTCGCGCCGGCAAATGCTCGAACGCCGCGTATTTACGCATGTCGCCACGTGACACAACGACTTCGAGATCGGAATCAGAGTCGTCGCAATCCGATATAGTCGTTGTGGCCAGTGAAAGCTCCGATTGAATTGACCTGTCCACTGGCTTGGCTGTAGGTTTTAGTGGTTGTTCGTCCATGGTGTCGACATTAAGGACTGTCAATGGAACGGAATGTACTTCTTGCTCCACGGGCTCGATGGAAGGAGCCCTCCCTTTACCCTTGTTTGCTTCTGAAATACCAGCCTCCTTCTGGGCGTCAACCCCTTCTCCAGCGATTGGGCTGGTAGGAGGTGTCTCATGGACGTTGTCAACCTCAATATCCGATGCCGCTCTGGAGCTGCTGGTAGGATAGTGCTCGTTGTCTCGCTCGAATGCAGATCTGGCGGTCGGATAGTTGAAACGAGCTAACAAGCTGTCCTTGGTTATTTTTTTCTTCGTCCGCGCTTGATGTGCGAGTTGCATATTTCGACTGAGCCTCTGTGTCTCACGCTTCATCTCTTCGATGGCCTTCTTGCTAGCCTTTCGTGTTGGACGAGCGTGCTTGGACAGCTTCTTCCCTCCAGCTCCCTCGGAGGCATCGCTCTCCTCATCTGTGTCATCTGCGGGGCTGGATCCTCGGATCCGGCGTTGTTCTGCTTCCTGGGCGCTCAGGCTTTCAGCGCGAGCTGCTTGTTTGGCTGCCTCTTCTGCTTCCTTTTCAAGCCGTTGCTTTCTGTGCTTCTCGACGAGGGCAAGGAATTTCGACTTTTGCTCTTTGGGAGAAGGAAAGAACAGAGGAGAAGGGGATCTTTGTAGATTGGTATCGGTGTTGGAAGTCTGCCGTGCTGCGAAGATGTCATCCTCTTGCGAATCGTCGAAAATACTGTCTTGCCGGTTGGAATCTAGGTGGGAGACATTTCGAGGGCTAGCTTGCTCAAGGACGTGCTGAGAACGAGCAGTCGCATCGAGTTTACTGTCGCGTGTAGCCGGGGGTCGACGGGGCGCAGAGATGTCATCATCATCATCATCATCATCATCATCAGAATCTTCTATCATATTTTGTAACTTTTCTTTGTCTGCTCCGGTAGCACCACGCGGAGCGGAACTCTGCTGGAGTTCCTGACCACGGGTGGGAGTAGTAGTATCAGAATCCGAATCGTCAAACTGGGCAAGTAAGCTCCGGACCTTTCGCGTCGGAGTGAGTATATTAGAGGTAACGCTTGTGGGTGAGTTGGCAGAAGAAGGTGAACTCGTTGCTGAAGACATTTTAATGGTATACAATGGACAAGGCCTATGACTGAGGCGTCCAAAACAGTGCAATGTCAAAGGCCTTGTCAGGCTTTTGGTCGAGTAGTTTGGATCACATTGACGGACGCTTTAGTTGGCCAAGGCGCGTCGCGTACTCGGTACAAACTCCCAAGAACGCGTGACGTCGATAGTCACGGTGGGCGCGGGCGGGCCTCTTCCCGCGTCTCTTACCAGTCACTCTAGGCTAGACCCAAAACCTATTGCCACATACGGGGTAGAGTGAGGACTTCACTTCTGAGAGACATTCAGACTCTGACCCAACATTCGCAGATGTTGCTAGACAGGTCCTGACTATCTTATTCAACAGCCGGCGGAGCATCGTTTCCCCCTAGTTGGGTCAACTCGAGGGCGAGTTCCGCAGGGCTCTGCATTTCCAAGATCATGTCTAATGTGGAAGCTCTGCAGACAGAATGGAGGATCTTGTATTCTCAAACCCTTCCCCAGATGGCGAAAATTCGAGATCCCGCCCAGTCTGTGTGGCCTGTGACTCTTGACCACTGCTTTGCCCGCATCATTCTGGACAACGTCATAGGCAACAATGAGCAACAGTGGGACATGATAATACCGAAGCCAGCCATAAGAAACATGAACGAGCAACAGTTGCGGGATGCAATAGCACTGGGGCAGAAAATCCAAGCTGGGAAGGTAGATCTTTCTGACCTGGACCAGGCGAGTCTGCGATGCAGAGGCAAGAATGAAAAGAAGTATGCCAAAGCAGCTGCAAGCGAAGTAGCCTCACACCAACCTCCGTCAAGGTCAACGAATGCTGGTACGAAACGGACGATAGGCGACGTGGACCAACCGGCCTCATCAGCAACAACAAAGAGCAGGAAGACTGACAAACACCAATCAACGCTCAAATCCTGGCGGGTTGGGACCTCGACAGAGTCGTTCAACACTCCCAACCATGTGGACGGGGACAGAATACCGCCAAAGCTAGTTGAGGCAAACGAGGAAGAGCTAAAGCGGACCCTAATCCGCATCCATTCACACCCTTCACTGAGCTCATATCGAAGGAAGCTCTATACTACTCTTCTTTCTGTCCCGCGCGGTCGCTTCACCACCTATGCCGCAATCTCAGAGTATCTCAAGTCCTCAGCCCGAGCGGTTGGGAACGGGATGCGCAACAACCCTTTTGCCCCCGACGTACCATGCCACCGCGTCTTAGCAGCAGACGGAAGTATCGGCGGATTTCAAGGTGACTGGGGCAGGGATGGCAAACATGCCTCCAAGAAAATAGAGTTGCTTCGAAGTGAGGGAGTTAAATTTGATGGCCGCGGCAAGGTTCTGGGTGAGCCATTTCGAGAGTTTCGACCCCTGCATCGTGTTGAAGATGCCATTCTGTCTTCGGTTCAACAATAACGAAGATCAACAGGTCTCTCTGGCACTGTATTGTGAAGCAATATGGTTGTGGATTCTCCATGACACCTGCTTTAGCACGTAACCACAGCATGTGACCTCCCTGTTGCACTTGCCATTCTACGGTTACCACATAGCTAGATAGGTGCCTTCGGGACTCCCACAGAAGATAGAGAGACAATCAATCATACCATGCCTTTACAAATATTGTCCAGCCAAAAGTAACATGACCTAATATACTGTGAGGACTCCCCGTGGTCCCGACTGTGTGATGCCCAACAATTCTGACAACTGAGGACCTACAAGGAAACATATTTGCCTGCAACCTTTCTCCCAGAATGTCCAACAATTGACTAAGTCATACGGGTTCAACTTCAGTCCCCCAAATATGGCGGCCAGCTCGAGGAAGCAATTCGGCATCCTGACCACGGAAGATTTGAGCGCAATAACGACTGCGCTCAGACAAGAACACTTCAATGGTCCGGTCGATACCATTCCCAGGCTGCCTGACGAGGTCCTTCTTCTGATTTTCTCTCGGATCATCACAAACTGCATCTACCTGTACCAGGAAGGCTATCCGGATATTTTACGATCCACTGGATCCCTTAGACAAGTGTGTCGCCGATTTCGAAATCTTGTCGATGAGCTGATGCTCAGCACTCCTCTCCGGAGGATCCTGCTCATAGGTCCCATATCTGGGAACTATACAGACATGACGACCATGTATCAAGAATATCGGAATAGTCTTTGGACAAGACTCGGCAGACCAAACGCTGGTGTCATTCCTTTGGGGGCGGTTGTGCACTTCTATCCGTGCCTTGACGTGAATGATTCTGTGAACTGGTTTCGAGACAACAACCTGCTTCTGGAATTAAAGGACATCCTCGCGGTGCAGGAAGCCATCACAGCGCACCATATTGCAGCACTTATTCTTTCTCGGATCATGCAAGAGGTCATTCGCAGACAATTCCGTGGACACCGTTATCCCACCCTTGGCCTTGTCTTTCATGAGGTCGATGGTTCATGGTTTCGTGGGAACCACTATTTTGAAGAGAGACACCGCCAACCCGATTTCCTACCATTTGTGAGTCCCTCTTCAACTTCTCCTTAGAAGATGGTCTTACCATGGTACACGTCCTATTCTTGAGGCCATATAGTTTTGTGTTACGCTAACAGATGCGTCCAGTGGGATTCAAAGGGGATGCAATTGATCCTGAGGGAATGGCGGTGGATCTTCCGACGCCCTAACAAGAGTCGCGCTCGCCGTATTCAAGTTATCCTCCCGAACGTTGCGTGGGCAACAAATTCCGCCGTCGAAAATGAAGCAGAAGCTGCCAATATTTGCGTTGCCGAGCTCTACCAAGCTTGGGCAGCAGAGAACGATGTGGCAGACATGCAGGTGCAACTTCCAAATCCTCTTGAAAGCCAGGCTATTCGCAGAAATATTGTCTACCTACCAGGCTTCCCCGGGCCCATCAGGTTCCCAACAGACTCGCTGTACGCAAGGTGGCTGGGAACGACGACCGAGGATGCTTTAGAGATCTTCGCCTTCACAATTCGTGCGTTAGTGGTTGGGGTCGAGAGAGATGGCGCATTAGCTATTATCAAGCAGTCCTATCGGCCACTCTTTGAGTCTATTGAGTCTGCCGGACAATCACACACTCAGACTGCGGATTTGGAGAAGATGCGGCAGCACCAAGCGGTGCGGCTGACGAGATAAAGGCGACTCCTGCTGCTCGCGGATTCAGAAAGATCACGCTGATTCCGTTGTTCTGAGTGTCTGCCTCGGTGCAAGCACTACAGAGGATCGGGATGGGATGCAGGGAAGGGAGGAGGACGTGAACAGTGAAACCTCGACATGACTATTCTGGGCGAGTATCGAAACATCCGAATATGAACTCGAAACATGAACGTCAGGTGGGTTCTCAGAGCCGTCTTCGACAAGAACGACGTCAGCAATCAGCATTATGAGTCACGAACCCAGGTCAAAGAAATGACTTGTGATACCCCTCGTTTCGATACCCGCGGACGACAGGTGTGCTAGCGATGGCGTTGGTTGGCACCGTAGCTTTTTTCTATGTAGATTTTGTCAATGGCCACGTTGTGCCTGACTGGACTGGCATCGTTCTTTTGTTTCGACTGTATAGCGAGAGTCCTTTGAATGGCACAATTCAGAGGCAATGTGTCACACTTGGTCGAACCAGCTGCAACCGAGGCCTTCATTTTTCTGCCGCTGTGGAGTTTCAGTTCTGTAGCTTTTTGATAGAACTGAGGTTTGAGCGTTATGCTTGCTTTCCTACCTTTGTTTTTCGAGACACTAAAAGTTGTTGTAGTTCCTTTATAGAGAAGCCGCGGCCTCTATAGCGCCGATTCCCTTGAACGCGGCCTTGTTGGTCACGACAATCTCGACCGGATATTTCCATTCCATGAGTTGTTTCCACCCTGTGATTCTCTCGATTAGCTTCCCAGACCACAAGAAAGCCTACGCGACACGCGGGGCGACCCCCAGAATGCTGCACCCAGCAACATATCACACATACCCCAGTAGGCAAACTTCCTGCCAAAATATTTCCCGACATAGGGGACAATCACCATGGACAGGAGCAGCTCCAACTGCTGCAAGCTCTCCTTCCACTCCCTCTCCGCGTCAGACTCTGAATATTCTTCCTCTTCGCTCACGGTGACTTCATCGGAGTCGGGTTCGGAGGGCAACGAGTCGATGTCGTCGTTGTCGTCGCCGCTCGAGGGAGGTTCAATGAAGGAAGCAGCTGTACCGTCTGTTTCGGACATGCTGGCGGCGGATACGGATTGGGGTTTTGTCGCCTTCGGCCAAGGACAGGCGGCTCGAAAAAGAAGCTTAGACCGAAATCATAGTAGCAGTCCACCACCAGAAGGGGAGAATCAATGACTTGGAATGCCTGCGTCGACGGTAGTCTAGTGAAGTCGATGGACGAATTGAAGTTGGCAAGGCACGCGAGGCTACTACCACTTAAGGTTGTTTTTGTCTGACAAAACTTGCCGTCATCACGAAGGGAAGAGAGATTTGTCAGACAACGGGAAATAGATGGCACGTGTCATGCGTCACTACTACAAGCCTTCACCCGGTTTTGACTCATTATCGTGTTTCGTATTAAATATTATTCGAGAGGGAAAAATCCCCGAGCTGGCACTATTCGATTCCACACATCTTCTTGAACCTTCTCTTTCAATTTAGAGAACAGACAAAGGAGAGATCAGCATACAGAATATCTTCTCATCTGCAACAAACTCGGACAACACGAATCATGGCTGAAGTTGTGCGTATCGCCACACAAATCCCCACCTCGCACGCAGATGCCTCCTCAGTCGGGGAGGCCAATCTGAAACCTCCTGCACCTCGCCCCACAAGCAGGAAGAATTCAGACATGACTGACACATCAACTCCTCTCTTACAGGAACAACCTCAACCGATTCCTCACCGAAAACCTCGCAAATCGGTCGCATTCAGCGGCGACAGCACCATCATGGATGAAAATGGCGAGATTTCAGAAGCGCCTCTGTCCGGCTCAGAGGACAAGGTTACAGCAGAGAAACACTCATCACGTATGGACGCTCCCGGGACATCAGGGAGCAAATCAGTACTGACACCTCATCAATCTACAGCGCCCGATGACCAAGCCGTCGATGAGATGACAGACATGTTCGCAGGTCTAAACAAGAAAAAGAAGAAATCGACCAAGACGAAAACAGAGGACAAGGAGGATGGCGAGGCTGCCGCGCCCGTTGCCGGTGCTGACGGCGACTTTGACGCCTCCATCCTGAAGAAGAAGAAAAAGAAGACAACCAAACCCAAAACCGAGGGAGAGGACTTTGCCGAGAAACTCGCTCGCGCCGGCCTTGCCGATGCAACAAACGAAGAAAAAGAGGAAGCTGCAGTACAGGAACAATCGGGGGATATGACTCAGGGAACCGGAATTTGGGCTCACGACGCAACATCCCCGATCTCGTACGAGCTCCTCCTCAAGAGATTCTTCTATCTCGTCAACGAACACAACCCGGACATCCTGTCCTCTGGAAGCAAATCATACAAGATCCCACCCCCGCAATGTCTAAGGGAAGGGAACAAGAAGACCATCTTCGCCAACATCGCCGAGATCTGCAAGAGGATGAACCGAAACGATGAGCACGTCACCCAATTCCTGTTCGCCGAACTCGGCACGAGCGGCTCCGTCGACGGGTCCAAGAGACTGGTCATCAAGGGCAGATTCCAACAGAAACAGATCGAGAACGTCCTGAGACGGTATATTGTCGAGTACGTGACCTGCAAGACCTGCCGCTCCCCCAACACCGAGCTGAGCAAGGGCGAGAACCGGCTGTACTTTGTCACGTGTAAGTCATGTGGCAGTAGGCGGTCAGTCACGGCCATCAAGAGCGGTTTCACGGCTCAAGTGGGCAAGAGAAAGAGGCTCAATGGATAAGCCTGGAATTTTACGAGGCCGGCTCGGGAGGGAGGAGGTGGATTCAGCTGTTTCCGCCACGGAGGGACTGGCATGGCGTTGGCGAAAAGATACGACCCCATGTGAAAATAGGCATGAGCAGGCCCGAAAATGGAAAAACGAACTTTGATACTATGGAGCAACACAGAGATTACAGGCGTAACGCTCATGAAGACAACGTAGGATCACTACTATTATTAGAAATGGTCATTGCTTCCCCTTTTCATACCTCCCGATGTGCATTCCCACTGATAAATGCCGAAAAGGCGGCGGCGTTTCGTGTCTGCATGAAGACCGTGCCAGGCCCCGTGAACTTACATACTAAACCTTCGCCCGAGCTGATTCCGGAAATGATACCTCCGGAGGCGACGCGTTCGAGGACATACTTGCAGTTCCAGGCGACAAGATGGCCGTTGTCGATAATGTATTTTTCGCCATCCACGAGCTAATGTTTGATTGCTGTTAGAATTCAATGCCACCTTCCCAGGGGATAGCTCAGAGGGTGAATAAAATGAGAGGACAGATGGGGTAGGTGGAATTAGATTTCTCGTGTTGGGTCCGCCAGGGTTTTGTTTAAGACTCACATCTTTCCTCAAGATCGCTCCAAAAGTGGACATCCACAGTATGCCAATGCCCGACATCTTATAGACGAATAGACCCTCGCCGGAGAACATGGCTTTACTGATTGACTGACTCTTGTACTCTTTCAACACGCCTTGAGTACAGGCGAGGAACGAGTCGCGCCCAAGGCTCCACGTTTCATTCCCTGCAAGTCGAAGGATCGAGATATCGCCCAATGTGTTCGGCGCAAGCAACACCTCCCCGGGACCCGTGAATGTTGAATGTGCCATTTCTCCACCAATCAATAACTTCTTCATGCTGAATTTAACGTTGCCTTTTAACATGACTGAAGGGCTCATTGCGATCATCACTCCGGGTTTTGCCGTAATAGGACACCCCATGGCCAACTGTATTGTCAATATTGAATTCGAGTCTCGATGCGAAATGCGGTATGAGCCACCGTTGAATGTCCCCACATCGTCCTGCGTTGTAGCTTGAACCCCCACGAATTGGCCTCCTTGAGGCACTCCAACCAGCGAAGGACCCTCAGGGGCTTTCATGACACCTGCCATATCCTTGGTAAGTTTTTGCAGGCGTGGGGATGTGACCTTCTCGTCAGTTTCGTCGAAAGAGCTCGTCGGGCCATTGTACGAGGGTTGCCGGTTGTGGATTGAGGCGTGGTCGAAGGTGGTTTTGTGGGCTGGTGCCGAAGCAGGAACAGTAGCATAGTTAAATGGTCGTTGCGCGGTAGGTTGCTGGAGGGGGGGAGGGGAAGGGGTCTGCGCTGCTAGATGGGAAATGGGTGGGGGGAGGATATGAAGCATTCTGCGCAGGCGGCGATGGCCCTGATGGAGGCGGTGGGAAGAAACTAGGAGGTGGGGATTGTTGGCTAGGCGGAGGAGGGAATGATGCTGAACGAGGTCAGCTTCGTGAACAACTCAAGGAGCAGATATTCTTCAAAGTCGTACGCTGGCCATTGGACGGCGGTGCTGATGGCTGGTTAGTTATTCTTCAGGCTCGGAGCATGGTGAAGGAACCATACGAGGATAATAGCCTCCTTGCGGCTGTCCTGAACCAGGAGGAGGATAGGACATGACGACAATAATCGCAGGGGAAGGACAAGAGCCAAAAGCAGCTCAGTGAAATCAAGACCACAGCAAACAACTCGGAATCGGACAGTGAACAGGACGTGAAGCTCAACTTTGCGCAGTAACTCTTAAGAAAGAGGTCAATTAAACGGGAGGACAATTCTTTCGATACTCGAGGGCCTTCGATTGATGGTGTGGCAACTTTAGGATGCCAATATTGTGTTTATATAAAGGACACGACCAGCGTAGAAGGACGGGAGGTGAGAAGTTAGCCGCCATGATTGCCTTGGGACCATTCATCAGGCGCCTTCTCCATCTCACCAGCAAGGACATGCTTGGTCGATCTCGGTGTTGCACAGAGGAAGCCATGTGGTTGGTTGGAGAAGGCGACGGTTGGGCGCCTAGAGAGCGAGGGGCATTGGCGACGTTGGAAGCCGGAGGACTACCAAGAGTACCAAAAGAGTGCCCCGCAGCTCGGGAGACCTTCTTTTTAGAGGGGAACACTTACCCGTCGAGCGTCTCCTGCTCACCTTACCCTGCCTGATACCCCAAAATAACAATAGCACCCAAGACCCCAAACAACGTACTCCCTGCGCCCGCCCAGTCTCCGAATCTCTTCCCACTGATTACTTCCACCTCGAGCCGTAATGACCATCACAACATATGTGCTCAGAATACAAAGATGTTGCTATTCAAGATGGACAAAAATAATGACCAGTCAGGTGCGACAAACTCGAAGCCAAGGCAGTCAATTCGTGTCAGTTGAGGGAGTGTTGTGCGTCCTGGGCACTTGTTAAAGGCGATTGAGTGCCCGTCTGATACTGTCAAGAGTCACGATCTAGGGCAAATAGATGCCAGAGTATGCTTCATCGAGCATGGCATCATATTTTATTGTTGGTTGTGTTGCGAGATGGATAGCCAGACTACTAAGCCAGCCCTATATATGGTTTCCGGGAGGGCGGCCTGCTAGGTTACATCCTCGTGCTCCTCGTAGGGCTTGTACATAAGCAGAGTAGAGGGAAAAGCGTGCACGCTAAAACCCCACAGTTCATTATTCAGGGGGGTGAGCTACGGAGCCGAGTTCTTCCTCGTGCGCCTCTCAGCCTCTGCACCTCGTATTGGGTCCCGTACTCGTAGTACCGAGTCCTGGTCAGGGCATCCTAGTTAAACAGGCTCCACGGGAACGGGCTTCCTGGCCACTAAAGGCACTCCATCATTTCCTAATCTGGTCTCTCTGGTTATTAACAAGCTTCCCACAACCAGTGCGCCAGGTGTTTGATGCGCAGTGACGCTGTCGGCAAATGCCCATAGCGTGCGGCCGGATACTCGCCTCGCATTGATTTTGCATCCGCTCTTTTCCCTGAAACCCTTCTTTGGGTAATCCATCTCACCTGTTCACGCTGCCTTTTGTTCCACTGCTCCGATCTTCCCGGGCTACCATCGACACAGGGACATTTATCATTATCGCCATTCCGTGCCTGGCTGGCTGGGTATCTTTCTGGATTCAGGGTCCAATCCTCTCGCCGATCGCCGCCCTCAAACCGACCTCGAACTGATCCGAACCCTCTTCCCCCTTTCCAGTATTGCGCGATACGAAGGCACACACATCAACCTGACATCGTCTCCAAAGAAAAAGGTCAAAAGGACTATACACGAGTGCATGGGAATCTGTGACATTATGTTGGGCTTAGAGAAAAGTGTATGGCGCGCTCGAATAAGAGTCCCCAACCTATGACGGCCACCTCGAGCAGCCTCGACAACATCAGGACATGGTTCAGCTACCGCAAGAGCCGGCGCTCAGCCGACTCGAGGTCCATTGGAATGGAGGTCTCATTGCGGCGTCTATTGCAGTGTCCCTCTTAGGTGCCTTTACCTCTACTCAGATGATGTGTCAAGCACGGACTTCACGATACTTCTCTGGCGTTTTAGTTTGGACCATACTAGGAAGTTTGACCTTCGGCTTCTGTTCCATCTGGTGTCTTCACTTCATCGCAATGTTGGCCTGCGAGCTACCGCTTCCGATCGGCTTGAATGTTCCCCTGACGGTTCTGAGTGCGGGCCTGGCGGTCATATTCACTTTCCTGGCCCTGGCTTCAGACCTGATGCGTGATCGCTATCTGCGCCTTGTCAAAAAGAGGAAGATGAGGGCTCTCAGACGAGAAAGAAAAAAGGAGGCAGCAAGACAGGGTGCCAATGAAAGTTCAGAAGCTCTCCTAGGAACACGGATCTCTGGCGAAGGAGAAGACGCGCGGGCTGTTGTGTCAGAGCATGCTAATGGGCCAGCTGACCGCATTCCCCCCAGTCATGACAGCAGTGCCAGTATGACCCTGGGGCTCTTGGAAGATCATTTCACTGGCGGCCCGCCTGCCACCAACGACACCATCGAATCCTCTCCCTCTCCTCACCCTCTGCAACAGTCGATCGGAGTTGACCCACAAGCCTTTGCCGCCCAAAATGAGTCCCCTTTGGAGGACGATTCTACTACTCGCGACACTGAAAGTTACCAGAGGAGCTCGGAAGAAGGGGAGCGTTCTCGGCGGTCCTCTACGACAAATCATTCAGACGGTAGCAGCCTCGGTCTTCCTGGCTTCATGAGCTTCAAATTCACCAAGAGTACCACCACCACCACTACTAATGTCCTCCTCGGGATCGGTGAACTGCTGTACCATGGAGCGACTATGAGGAACTTTTGCAAGGGCTTTATATGGAGCTTGGCCATTACGAGCATGCATTACGTCGGTATATTTGCCTTGGAGGTTCCACAAGGGCACGTTACGCTACACCCACTTATCGTCCTCGTCTCAGGGTCGAGCAGTTGGCTAGTCTGCACCTTGGGATGTATCCTGATGCCCCAAATTGAGGTCAATCTATTGCAGCAGCTCATTTTCTCGATGGTGGCGGCAGCAGGAGTTGCCGCCATGCATTTTACGGGAATGTGGGCAACTACCTTCTGGACATACGCCACTCCGACTGCAGAACGTGGATACCCTCCAGACCTAGCCGTCGCCGTTACCAGTATTGCCATTCTCACGTGCTTGCTCGCAAACGGACTGCTCGCGCACTCGGCAACGGTGGCTCGGAATAAACTGGCTGAAATCGTGCACACTCGAAGAAAGCTCTGGGCTGCTATAGCTCAAAAGGAAAATGCGGAAGCAGCTGCGGCCGTGCGGAGCGAGTTTATAGCCAGCGCCAGTCATGAAATTCGGACGCCCTTGCATCAGCTACAAGGTTACAGTGACTTGCTATCGCGCACAGAATTGAGCGAAGATGCTCGTCTCCTCCTGCTCGCCATACAGCAGGCGACAAGATCGCTCTCGATGATCACGGCTAACGTTCTTGACTGGTCTCGATTGGAGAAAGGAGAAGCTGTCTGCCGGCCAACGAGCCTCGACCTCCGGAAAGTGTGTGAGTCCATTCTAGCAATCTTGCCCAACAAGGATGAGGAGTTCGGCACTGAATTGATGATTGTCGTGGCCCCCCAAGTACCCTCTTCACTTTTCCTGGACGAGACTTATCTACAAAGGATTCTGATGAACTTGCTTACGAACGCTCTAAAGTTTACGCAATCTGGATACGTACTTCTACTGGTGGAAATGAAGGACATGGACTTGGCTATCACTGTTAGAGATTCCGGATTCGGCATTCCGGAGCCCTTTCTGCCACATCTTTTTGAACCATTTAAGCAGGCCCAAACTCGAGGCGCTGAGCGAGGGACTGGTCTCGGTTTAGCCATTATCAGGCAGCTACTCCAGAAAATGGAGGGAACAATCGCTGTGGAGAGCAAATCCCACCTGGCTGATCATGTGGGAGCCGAGAAATGCGGCAGTACCTTCACCGTCACCATTCCAACCCATCCCTCAGCTGATACACCGGACGCTTTGAACTCTCTAGGATCCAATCGGCGGATCGCATTGCTACAAGACTGCAATCCACGATTTGCGGAGGGCTTAGAACTCGCTTGGAGAGCTTTTGACTTTGAGCTCATCCGAGCAGAACCAGATGATGAGATATCAGACTCTTTCGGGTACATCTGGACAGACCTGACGTTTCTCATCAGCCACCCGAAACTGCTAGGACGAATACTTGACCTTCGACACCAACTAGTCATCTTGTCATATGACTCGCAAACGCTGCTTGACGAATCGTTAGGCTCTGTCCCTCCGCCGCACGTCATACCGGTGAGGAGACCGTTTGTCTGGCATCGCATGGTCGAGAGTATAGCTTCGGCCGCCCGAACCGGTAGATCGTCCGTTGATCGCTCAGTTAGATTTGCCCCAGTAGTCGACGTGGTAGACGACAACAAAGACTCGCGGCAGACGCACGAGACCAAGACGCTGAGTGGCGCGACAGTGCTGTTGGTGGAAGACAACAAAATCAACCAGAGGCTGGGAGTGAAGATGTTGAACACGCTCGGCTACAATGTCATCGTAGCAGACGATGGACAAGAAGCCATCGATAAGCTTGTCGAGCACGACCACGACATTGACATTGTTTTGATGGACCAATCGATGCCGCGTATGGATGGCATAACGGCAACGAAAAAGATTCGAGAAATGGAAAGCCAGGAACTACTGGGCCCCCTTTCTCGCACCCGACGGCCCATCATTATGGTCACAGCTGTCGTCGGACCAGATGCCCAAGCGCTTTGCATGTCGGCAGGTACAGACGCATTTCTTCCGAAGCCCCTGGCAATGTCCAAGCTTGAGCACACATTAAAGATGTTCCTCGGCTAAGAGTATACTGGTTTTGGGAATGAAGATATGTATTCCCACATCCTTGCGATACTATCCAGGCCCGAGTAATACCCACGCTCCCTACTGGAGCTCTTTTGGCAGATCGCGTCTTCGCGGTCAGCGAGGAGTACAGAGCGCCCGTCAAGGGGAGCTTGTATGGAACAGCGGCAGAACAGAGTAGATCCTTGCCAGAAGCATACACGCACGTATCGCAAAGATCTTTCCTGGTTCGCCTGAGGACGCTCAAAAGACAGCAGAATCGGGCCTTGACGACTTTAGACAGCAAATCATCGATCTAGAATCAATGCCAGATGGCCACAGGAAGATCTTGCAATGAAGACATGGCAGCACATAGTTTAGACGGCCCAAGATACTGGTTTCGGCACCGGGGTTTCGGGGTCAGCTCGTCAGTAATGAACCGGGGAGTCGGACCATATCTAGAATATAGAAGCCTGAGCGGTCGGGTTTTTGTGCCACTCCACCTTTTGAATGATCTCCAATTACGAAATCAAAAAGATCTTTTTACCAAACTTGACGTTTACCATGTGTGGCATGTGATGGACTCGCCCGGACATCTGAGCACGAAAACTCTGCGTGATCTGGTTGAGGTTGTTTCTGTTAGCAATGGAATATGCCAGCCTCGCCAGGACCTGTACTTAGGGGAAAAGGGATGATAAGGCAGGATGGATTGTCACTTAACGACCTAGCCCGTTTTCTCTAGCTTGTTTGTGGTGCATCTTGGGCGGGTAATCTTGCGCTTAGGGGACAGATATCCACAGGGCATATCATGCGGCTAGCCCGTAGTGCCCGTAGCATCCTCGGCGTTTTGTCGATGTGCTAGTTCAACCCCACGGTGCGCGGTCGTAGATCCCCAAGCGGGCAAATGGTAGGTATGGATTTTGTCCTTGTAGGAGGGGATATGGTGAGAGAGCAGAGAGCTCAATGGCGAGATTGCCCGGAATATGGATCGGAAGGGTCGGGGAGGCAAAAAGCCAGGCAGGGATGTTAAGGACGGTGGCTGAGGGTGTGGGATGGGGGGGATGGGCGGAGGGGTGATGATGGATGACGGCGGCGGCGGCGGCGATGGTGAGGGTCAAGGAAAGTTCAAAAGTGTGAGTTGAATGACTTCCAACAAAACCTCTTACGGGCCAACATAAGAACCCATCCCTCGCTCCTTGTTTGCCCCTTTGCAGCTTGCTCACCACCCACATTCTTTTGCCCTTTCTCTATTCTCTTTTAAGAGGAAACAAAAAAGGACAGGTTCGGTGCATCATTCATACATACGGAAAAGTAATCGTGTTTCCTTGGGAGTTGATTCATTACTTACCCTGGTGGACAACAATCCTTCTTCCATCGTTGTCGAGATACCAAGCCACGAATCCACGTACATCCTTTGACTTTGACTGCGTTTTCGGGTTCCCTCCCTCTTTGCATTTCTCGGTCCAAACCTTCGCACGCCTTGACCAGACAAGACGAGTCTCCTGAAAATGCAGCCAAAGGCCCCCGAGAAGTCTTCTCCGAACAGCCACACTCACAGCCAGACGAACGGCTCCTCATCCACCCACGAGTCCTCAAACAACGGGTACGACATGAACTCCCCCTCGACGATCCGTCAGAAATTCCTCCCTCACCCTTCCGACCTGGGCGTGGTGCTCGTCGGCTTTTCTGGCGGGCAGTGTAAAGAAGGCGTGGACGCCGCTCCTACGGCGTTGGTCAGCGCGGGGCTGCTGGACCAGATCCGGGATGAGCTGGGATACACGCTTCATGGGGATAGTGAGGTGCACAATTTCAATGAAATCCGCCCCGCGTCCGATGCGCCGTACAGGGGAATGAAGAACCCGCGCTCAGTCAGCGCCGTCACGCAGACGCTTGCAGGACAAGTTTATGAACAAGCTCGTCATGGAAGGATGGTCTTGACCCTAGGAGGCGACCACTCCATAGCCATCGGGACCATCGCGGGCACAGCCAAGGCCATTCGGGAACGGTACAACGGACGCAAAGAGATCGCCGTGATCTGGGTTGACGCCCACGCTGACATCAATACGCCCGAGACATCCGATTCAGGCAACATCCACGGCATGCCAGTCGCGTTTGTAACTGGTCTGGCGCACTCTGAGGACAAGGACATTTTCGGCTGGTTACAAGAAGACCAAATGCTGTCGACCACCAAGCTTGTCTACATTGGACTGCGGGATGTGGACCGAGGTGAAAAGAAAATCCTGCGTGACCACAGGATCAAGGCCTTTTCCATGCACGACATTGACCGTCACGGGATTGGAAGAGTGGTCGAAATGGCCCTGGCTCATATCGGGAACGACACTCCCATCCACCTCTCCTTTGATGTAGACGCCCTAGACCCGATGTGGGCTCCTAGCACGGGAACACCGGTCAGAGGAGGCTTGACTTTGCGGGAAGGGGATTACATTGCCGAATGCGTCCATGAAACGGGCCAGTTGGTGGCTATGGATCTGGTCGAGGTGAATCCTGCTTTGGACGTGGCTGGCGCAAGCGAGACGGTGAGGGCCGGCGTGAGTCTGGTGAGGTGCGCACTGGGTGACACCTTGCTGTGAGAGAGTAACACAGAGACCGACGGGGGAGTCTAGGGAGGTTGGAGAGGGAAACCCTACTTTACGTGGCAACATACAGCATTATCCGTAAAGTTTTCTCTCTCTCTCTCTCTCTCTCTCTCTCTTTTCTCTGTCTCTGTTCATCTTCTCTGTATATACCTATTCGATCGCACGCGCCAGAACATCGGAAGGAAAAACCAAGCAAGAAATGGGAAGACTCGGCTCGACTCGACTCAACAGAACAGAACAGTATCGACGGAATGAGAAGCAAGGGAGGTGAGGGTCTTTTGAGGGCTTACATTCATCCATTCATACCTACCTACTTACCCACAAACCTACATACCTACCTAAAAAAGGAGAGATGTGTGGAGTACCACACCCACATATCTGTATTAGTAGAGACCAAGAGACCAAGAGACAAAAGAGACAAAGCTGATTAATGGAAGGTTCATTCTAGCTCTTATTCCTATTCCCATTCTCTGAGAGCATTCAATTATACGATATGGACATGGAAATGGATGGTCATTCATGCGTGATTGTTGTTGTTGTTGTAGCTATCCTCTGCATTCATTCATTCTGATGTTGACTCTGAGTGAACCTCCCCCAGCTACTCACCCGACCTGGCGTCTTGTTCCCTCGTTATCGAGGTAGGGAGGTAGGGAGGTAGGTATGTCATTGTCCCTCTTCTCGCAAATGCCATACATAAATCCATCATTATACAATCCGCTACAAACGCCACACTTGTGAAACCCGACGCATCTCCCTCCCCACCGTCCCCCTTACCTGCTCATGCCCTCCTCGTCTCGAAACACAAGTTCAAAGGCGCCAACCCGAGAGTAAAGTGGTCCTTTGTCCTCGTCAGGAGTCCCTCCCCAGTCTCCCCGTTGGCGAGTCTGACGTCGAACTTGCGGATGATGTTGGTCGTCAGGAGGCGGATCTCCATGTACGCCAGGTTCTTGCCGATGCAGTTGTAGGGACCGGTGGAGAAGGGCTGGAACGCGTCCTTGTTGGGCATGAGCTCCGGGCGCGAGAAGTGGCGCTCGGGAATGAATTCGAGGGGCGAGGGATAGAGGTCGGGGTCTGTCGTGGTTAGTATATTAACGAAGGTATGAAGGAGTATTTGAAGCTGGGCATGGTGCAGGGTGGACGGGGATAGACCAGCCAACGACGGTGAAGTTAAGGCGGGACAGAACCTCGAAGCACTTCATGGGAACGGATAACAAAAGAACAGCAAAACTCACCTCTTCCCATGACATATTGCGGCATCTGCACCACCGTGTCTCCAGGGATATACACACCACCAATCTCCACCCCCTCCTTTGGTGTTTTTCGAAACACTCCACTCGGTACAGGCGGGTGAAGTCTCAAGGTCTCGTTGATCGCTCCGTTCAACAGCGGGGCATCCTGGATCTTTTGCGAGTCGATCTTCTCGTCAGGCTTCACCAACCCATCCAGCTCTTTTCTCAGTCGCTCGAGAAGGCCCTTTTCCGTGGCAATGTGGTAGAACAAGTGCACCAGGGTAGCTGCCGTCGTGTCCGAACCAGCGACGATGATCAGCCGACTGTCGCCCTGCAACATGGGCAGCTGGGCCTTTTGCGCCGCTGGATCCGACTTGATAAAATGCTCGACTAATGTATGCGCAATGTCCTGGTTCTCCACCTTGCCTTGCATCTTGATCCGCTTGTCAAGTTGTTCAGCACAGTAACTGACGAAGCGGAAGTGATCTGCAGCTGCGCCGGGAATAGCTACGAGGAGCCGAAACAACCAGGGTGGCAGACCCAAGCCGAGATGGTCCATGCCATCATTGAGCAGCTTGATGGCCCAGTGCATCTCCCCAGATTCGAGACACTGGTTGTCCGCACCGAAGGCGAGATCGCCCATCACATCGAACGAGTACAGATTGAACCATTTCGACACGTCCATGGCACCGCCTACAGACATAATGTCAGTTGGATCCAGGTTGGAAAGGGTCACCAAAACAGGAGTAAGTAACTTACCATTTGACTCTTGCACCTTCTGGAGAAGCAGGTCGTTATACTTCTGCACCCGATTTTCGTAACCCCGAAGGGCCTTGTCACTGAATGCAGGGCTCCAGATCCGTCTCCGCCGATCATGCTGCGCTCGGTCCCGGCACGTGTGCATTGAAATGAACGGAAGATCCTGTCCATACCATGCGCTTTTGGTGCATTTGGATTTGACGCCATTGACGACTTCGACGCCATCAGGGTGTGTGACAGAGATGCCGTTGGGGTCGAGGCGCACGAATTTGCCATACTTCTGGTGCATGTCAAGCAGATGTTGATACGTATTTCTCTTGCTCGCGACGCGGAAGGCGAGATCGAATCTAGACAACCGCGCCCAGAATGGACCCGGGATCTTGTTCAGCGGATTGAAGAAGAGCCGATAAACGACCAGGCTGGTGTAGATGCCGGCCAGATACAGCGACGCATATTTGGCGCTGAATGCAATAGCCTCTGTGGTCGGGATATTGCCATAGTGCGACCTAGCCACACTCGTGACAATGCATCCGAGAAGAAATGCTTGGAGGTAGCGGGTAGGGTACAGACAGCGTTCGCCCACTTTGAAGAAGAAGAGGTGAGTTGCCACGCCTGCCGAAACAACGGCCCAGGGTAAGTAGGTTAGCGACATGGTGCAACGAAGTAGTGTGACAATCAGGCAGAGAAAGAAAGGTGGAAAAGCATGGGATGAGATGTATTAGACTAGGTCGGTGCTGTACTTATGTGCCTTCTTGCACATCCTAAACCAAGGGCATGCGAGATGTAAGAAGTGGAACAGTATCGAATCGACTTCCCGTTGATCTTGTCGATGGCCTTCCAGCCAGAGGATTCTAATCACGTATTCGCATCGATCTGATTGGAGAACGACCAGAGGCAACACATGTCCCCGTCGTATAACGAACGGCCAGCTTTGGGGAGGCGTTCCTCTCGAGAATCGAGTGGGTCGGGGGTAATAATACTCCGTACTTGGGCTCCATATTTTGTGCTGAAATGCGGGGAGACTTGAAGTTTCTGTGGACCCCAGCATGTCGAGGTCCTCGAGTCAAGCTGACTCGACCAGGTCGACAGAGATATTGTCCAGGCAATACGCCGCCATTGCATTCGCAAACACACCTAGGTACCGTAGCTGGCTGTCTGAAGGTGGCGTCACGTAATGAACGGGAGATAAAGGCTGTCATGGTGGTGGCTTTGTGGACACCTCATCTTACTGGCACTTCGCCGTATGCTCAGAACGGGTTATAGGTGGGATCAAGAAGTTGTATGTCAGCAAAACACCACTCATTCTGTGAACTCGATCCTGAGTTGAAGTAGCTGAGCAAGACTTTTTCTTGTGCCATGTCTCTTTTCATGAGTTGGTGCTTACTCTAAGCCCAGTGAGTACAAGCATACCTCGAGCCTGAAAGAATGCTGGAGTCATCCGCGGAGGGTCTTGTGCGATGGCAATATGCGCCCTGTGGACCAGGAAACGAAGACAAGCTAGAACAGGCTCGAGCATGTAATACGGACCATGCCGTTAACCTTGATGGCGTGGGTTGTATTCCCTTTCCTGGGCGATCCGTCGAGGGACTCTGTCGTTGTACACAAAGACCCAAGCATTGTTCCCTGCTGCTTTCGGCATCATCCGCTGCTGCCCAAGATCAGCTGGCGGAGTGTTTTTTCAGCCTCTGGGGCGCGCATATCACCCTTTCGGGGGTGTCTCATCATTTGCCCCATGAGGAACTGCATTTTCCCAACTTTGCCCTTTTCGACAATGTCTTTGACATGCTGGGGGAACTTGTCGATAATTTCTTGTGCGATGGCTTGGTAGGTATCAGTCGACATCTCCGAGAAGCCCAGGCCCTCTTGTCTGATGATCTGTGAGACAGGTCGTTTGTCACCATTATAGATGAGCTTGAGGATATGTTTAGCCGAACTCCCTGTAATCTGGTTGTCTTTCAAGCGATAAATTATTTCAGCCATCGATTTGGAGGAAACCAGGTTGTCACTCCATTGATTTTCTTCGGTGGCAAGCAGAGCACCCAGTTCATGCAACACCCAATTTCCCACGGTCTTTCCGTGATCTTTGGGCGTCGTTGTGAACCGGCTGCTTGACACCAGCGCATCGACAATGTCTTGAAAATAGATCAATCTCTCGCCATCATCGAGCGAAACCAAGGTCACCGCATCCGTGAGACTGAGGCCATACTTTTGAACTAGCATCTCAACTAATTCGCTCGCCGTTGGAGGTAGAGTCTTCTCAATCCAAGAGATCAAGTCACGATCGATGTAGAGTGGAGGGATATCCGCATCGGGCAAATATCGATAATCCACCTCGCCCTCTTTTCCTCGAAGTCTTCTTGTCTCATTGGGGTTCGTCATGGACCAGCCCCTGGTCTCGCCCTGAACCACCCCGCCGGATTCGAGGATTTGAATCTGGCGGTCTCTTTCCGCCTTGATTGCATCTTCGATACCTTTGAAGGTGCTGAGATTTTTGATTTCTGTACGTTGACCGAGGCCTGTCACGCCACTATAGGCAAATAAGCCCCCCTCAGCGCCTCGACGACGGACGGAGACATTGACATCAGCCCTGAGGCCGCCTTGTTCCATGCCGGTTGTGACAGCGTCAACAGCGTAAAGGATCGACTGAACTTTCTTGACGTAGATGGCTGCATCCCGAGGAGAATGCAAGTCGGGTAACGAAATTATCTCGATCAGCGCTTGGCCACAACGGTTGAAGTCTATCAATGCCGTGTTGATATCATCTTCCTGCGTTCTAGCAGTGTCCTGTTCCAATTGCACCTGTTTTATATTTACCGTGACCGTGCGACCTTCCTCCAGCCCATCTTCGGTGGCCAACACAACACGACCGTTCTTCGCGAAGGGGTGGTAATATTGAGTGATCTGATAGCCCGCTGGCTGATCGTGGTAGAAATAATGTTTGCGGTCGAAGTTGCTGACTGGCTCAATCGTACACCCGAGGGCGGTAGCAGCACGAAGGGCTGGCAGGATGACAGCCGGCTGGAGGAGTGGGAGACTACCAGGCAAGGCGATGTCGAAAGGAGCAATTTGACTGTTTGGAACCGTAGTCGGCGCCGTTATACCAGCTACCCAGTCTCAGAACAATACCTAGACAGAGAGAGAGGGGTCTTACGCGAGAAAAGCTTGCGAGAGGCATTGAGCTGGGCATGGATTTCAATGCCTACTGTCAATTCCCAATTGTCCAGTAAATCCGGGCTCTCAGCCGCTGCCGGGGCTAGTGGGAGCGTTCGCACTGCTTTTGCAGCATCTTTGAGCTGCTTCCGAAGAGGACTTTGGTCCTGCTGCAACGATCGGGGCTTTGAATGGAAACTGCGAAAAAGTGATTGACAATCAGAGGGACCGTTGGCAGTCAGGAGGCAAACTGGGAGCCGCTGTCGAGTCCATCTCAACCACCTTTGGTGCATAGGCTTTCGAGGCGCACCAACACGAGTGTTAGAGAAGGTGTAAACAAGAGTCAATGAGGTATGTTATCGATCATTGTCGATTTGTCGCAACCAAGCAGCAAGCCAGATAGAGTGCCGCGGGCGATTCTTCACTCCACCGTACCGAGTCTGCACCGGAGACCCGGACAAACAGATTCTCCGAGAGTCCACGAAGTTCCGATCCCATCAAAGTCAATCAGACTCGTTTTGATCGTCATTGTGGGATTTTCTGGTGGCGCTCGCACAAGTGTTTGCTGTGACGATTCATTCTTCCTTCAGGTTTCAGAGATACCAATATCAGAATGTTCTTAGAGCAGGGATTGTCTTTCAAACGGTGGGCATTGTTAGCCTCGCCGTCCACCGGCTAGTCGCATTGCTCTCCCACAGACCGCACTCGGGACCAACACCCCTACTCCGACTTTTATGTGCTGGATAACCTTTCGATACACTCTTATTTGGACCCTCAAAATGAGCTTGTGAGATTTGGACCATGAGTCTCAATATTTTGCGGCTGTCGGGGAGCCACCAGTTCCCCCAAGAGTTATGGGGTCGCCCAACAACGAAGCCTTGGATGCTAGCTATTAACACTGCTCTAGGCTTATTTGTGGGCTTTGGTCTGCTGTATATTGCAAGGTCATATCTCCCCTCGAGCAAAGCTTCCAAGAAGGAGGAGGTGGAGGAGGAGGAGTCGGCCGCTGTAACTGACAATGATCACTCCGTGCTCAAGAACCATTCATATGTCCAGTCATATAAAACCAAGCACGCCGAGTACCCGTCAATAAGGACGTTTTATCATCCTCATCCACATGCCGAAAAGCTCCAAGCCATCGCAGATCTACCTCTGCTCGTCTTTATTCATGGATTGGGTGGCTCTTTACCTCAGTTTGCGCCGCTGCTCGGAAGCTTGGTCAATATCGCTCCCTGTTTCGGCATTGATTTGCCAGGGCATGGCATGTCCAAATTCTCGCCGAAGGACTATGATGCCTATACCATTTCTGCATTCTGCGAGCTCTGGCAGACGGCCATTCGAGATATTTGTGAACAGCACGGACATAAAAAGGTGGTGTTTATTTGCCACAGCATGGGTTGCTCCCTCGCTGCTGTGCTAGCAACGTCTCCTTCATTCCCATTGCGTGTAGAAGGGTTTGTTGGTATTTGTCCCAAGGCTACTCCACCCTCGCCGTCTGAGACGACTTCGGCAAGGCGGTTCTTAGCTCTCCCGGACATAGCACTCAATATACTGAGAGCCCTGGACCGAAGAGGGGGCGTCAAATCTCGAAGTGTTGAGAGGATGGCCGGAAAGGCGGCTGGAATAGACCTTCGCCGCCTCCAGTTAGCGTTCAACAAGGGCTTCAAAACACCGGTATGGAAACGCTCTGCGTTGGGCTGCCTGCCACAGTACGACTCTTCGGGGAAAGCAATAGGCGGTCTGCCGGGGAAGGACACCTGGGCAAGAATCCAGGTACCTCTGTTCCTTATTGCCGGGGAGGCAGATACCGTCACAAAGCCAGCTGAGCTTACAAACATTGTTTCTTTCCTGAAGAAGCTCCCAGCCGGCGAGCAGAAGAAGGGGAATCCCGAGAGGACAACACTACCCGCCGACGCCACTGATTCAGAGCGCGCGACCGCTGACGCCTCCTGTGAGGGCAAAGCCGACCCGATGGCGGATGAACGCCAATTCGGCACCCTTCCCTCAACAAGCGAGATGTCAAGCCACAACTCGAAGATTGTCAAGACGGCAATCCTGCCTTCGCCCGCAGCCCACGCCTTGATGTACGACCACTCGACCTACCGCACGGTGGCGGGCCTGATCGAAGACTTCCTGGCGCGCTACGTCTCCCCCGAACTTTCACTGGGGTGGCAACTCCAGCAACTGACCACCTCGGGCAAATGGGACGTGAAGAACCTGGAGAAGTGGAAAAAGGTGCTGCCCGTGTCGGGCGCCATCGGGCACCCTCCCGCGTCTGGCATCTTCCGGGCCATGAAGACGCTGCGGGAGCAGGACGAGGTGCACACGCCGTCGGTGTTTGTGCGGAACTGGAGCGACCAGATCTTCGCCGTCGTCGACATCTCGCACGACTCGCCCGTCTACGACACCAAGGCCCTCGAGCGCGGCGGCATCCAATACCACAAGTTCCCGACCGTGAGCAAAGTTCCCCCCACGGCGGTCGAGGTCGCCGACTTCATCGCCCTGGTCGACCGCCTGCGTCTCGAGGACCCCCACACCGTCGAGGGCAAGACCATCGGCGTCCACTGCCACTACGGCTACAACCGCACGGGCTTCTTCATCTGCTGCTACTTGATCGAGAGGCTGGGCTACCGGCCACAAGACGCGATCGACGAGTTTGCCGCCCAGAAACCCCCGGGCATCAAACACGAGCACTTCATCGACACCATCTTTATGCGGTATCATGTGGGCCTGAAGAAGGCGCCCACCTTCGTCGACACCAGACAGGGCTCCATATCAGGGGTAGAATCGGTGCAGTCGATAGATTCATAGAGCAGGGGTGTTATAAGGAAAAGGGGGGAATAAATGGGTGGCACGTTTCATTAATCCCTCAAGCAATGGGATTCGTATTTGGGTTCTGCACGTTCATGTCCTTTGCTATGGCTTCTATAACCAAGCGTTGCATTCATTCGCTGTCCACTCGAGTCGACAAACCGAGCGTTTGAGCCAAGGTGTCTCGTCTTGTCCACAGTATCTAGGCCACCAAAACTTCCCTCCACTCCAGCGAGCTCCTACATAGAACAATTCCGGACATGTGCTCTCTGTTGACAAGGACTCTTCGCTCTCATCGAAGCTAATCCCGTGCTGAGCTTTGCTGGTCGATCCCACCCAGCCCCAGTCGTTTTCATAAGGACCAAGTCTGCCAGCAAGACTGCTCCAAAGCCTTGAGCAAGGTTCTTCTTGATAGCGGAGCCTGTCTCTCTCTCCATAAGGCCGCTTGAAGGCAGGTACATCATCCGCATGCGAGAACAAGTGTTGGTATCGGTTGTTGAACATATCGGCAAAAGTGTCGTGTCGCGCTGTTTCCAACTCATCATAACTTCGCGTCACATCAACTTCAGATTCGCGAAGCTCTTAACAATCGTTCCGTCAATTTGACTTAGCCAACGGTATTGAAAATTCTCCAGCCCGCCGGTCCTCTCAATCACCTGCCTCAACCTCGACCCGATAAACTCGCGTACATTAATGGTATAGATTGGATCGTGGTTACTCAAGACCCTCTTCCGACCATCCTCTGGTGTTGCGTCAGGCCATTCAGGAACATCTCCACCATCTCCATGGCGGTTATGCCATAGGTAATCTCCTTGGGACTCGTCTGCTGCTTCTTGACCTAGCTCAGTGCAAATATCAGTCCAGATTGTGAACATTGTCTCGAGGTTTTCGAGCATGACTGTCGGAAACCGTGGAGAAATCGTACAGGCAAGCAGATTTGTCAGGGCAAGGACCTGAAGCTTCTTGCGCAGGATGTCACCTATGGCGTCAATGTGAAGAAACCATTCTGTCAGAAGCCATTCGGCCGGTGGGAGAACAGAGGATGGCGCTGAGGTTGATGTGGACGTAACGTGGGTGGCGTTTACTGCTTGAACGAATTGGTCTGGCGAGAGGAGAATCATACGTGCCAGGAGACTGAAAAGGCTCGTTTCTCCCGGGCCAATGATGTCTGGTGGTTTGCGGGTCGGACGAGGATCCTGATGATAGTCGTATGCTTCTTTGAGGAGGCCCATCACGGATTCCAGGTAGTGGGTATTCAGCATCGATTCCAAAAGATGTGTGAGGCCCTGTTGAGGATCCACACTGGACAGAGACTCGACCGACATTGTAGAAACGAGATTTTCTAGAACATGAGGTGCCAATGACGCATCCCGTGCTCGACTGGTTGATAGAGCCGGCAAGAAAGATTTCATTGACGTGAGGAGCGGTGTCAGGAACTGGGGTGACAGGACAGTAGCGGGCGACAATATCGTATATGATTCTGTGAGCTCGAATATCTGCCGCAGAAGCTCACCGCCCATATCCAACAGGGGTAGGAGAGATTGAGATAGGGATAACAGGTCTGAAGAGGCGTGCTCTGTCGGGGTTTGCTGTACAATGGCAGCCCACAGTTCGAGTGCCTCTTCAAGTAGATACACAATTGCTTCCGACTGTGGTTGGATGGAGTCATGAATTAGGGGGAGAATGGGTCCATGGTAGGCCAGGCTCTTCTGCCCAAGACTGTTGACAATTGCGGTGATCAAGGTCAAGATTGCTTGTTTCATCAAGTGTTCTTCACCAGATTCTGTCCATAGTGGCGGGAGCATCGACATTATGCCCTGTGCATATGGTTCTATGTGGCCTTCCAGCCTCGTCACCGCCACTCTGACGGTCTCGAGTAATGCCATTTTTGTCTCAGACAGTTCTGTCTCAGCAATGAGGGATATGACACTTTCTAGCAGAGGCGTAGCGTAGGGGCTGAAATCAGAGTAGCTGAATTCGAAAGGCTCTAATACGAGACGCAGCTGCCGTCCTGCCGTCACGCGAACGACATGGTCATTGAGGGGCTCTCGGCTCGAGAGCAAGTGTGTGAATATTTGATAAACTGCGATTCGATCGAGTATTTCTGGTTTGATTGGGACCCACTGGCCTAATAAGATTGCAGTGCGTCGCCGAAGGAGATTGTAATTTGGTCTGTTCATCTGTACTTCCTGCACCAGGGTCTCGCGAAGGAAAGTATTGAAGTCAAGGACGTCCTCTAGACAGGCGGCTGCTATTCCAATGGCTGAGTAGAGGCTGTCTTTCAGGAGCACATCGGTGTTCGAAATGGTGGCGTATTGATAGAACACCTGGAGTAACCGTGGAACCAGAAGCTCTTTGAAGTTGATGACTAGGTCGAGGAATAATTTTTCCGAACATGAGCGAATCGAGAACTCCCACGCGTCTGCAATTTCTTCCTCTCGGCGCTCCCACTCGTCTGGTTCCTGTTCCCAGTCTCGCAAGTCGGAAGGCCGAAGGATGAAGTATTGGGTCACTAAAAGCTCCATCAATCGAAGAACGAAGTCTTGCGTAAGGACTGTGTTTTTGACGTAATCGACGGCATGTTTCCTGTCCTGCTTGTCCTCTGGGGTGACATATTTGAATGTTTGGACTGGATTGAAGACCATCTTCAGGCAAGCACGGAATAATAACAGGCCTTTCAAGCGAAGCTTCTCGATTGGTGACTCCTCAGCATTGTCGCCACTGCGGTATACTTTCCAGTCAAAGTTCCCCTGCAAGGAAGCCTGCTTGGCCTCCGTCTCGCTGATTATAGACCAGGAGCGGTTCAGAATGTCCATGCAGCCAAGAAGGACGAAGGAGGCAGGGTGGTTTCGAGCCATGTCGAGAAATAATTTGGACAACTGCAGGAGATGCTTCAAGAGCATGCTTTGAGCTTCGGCTGGGAGTTCTTGAGTGTATGCTGCCCAGAATATCTGTTGGTGATTCTGCAGGAGGTTCCAGAATTCCTTGACTGCTTCTTCTCGATGAGGATTCTCGAAACCAACCACGAGAAGTCTCCGCAATGTCTTCAGCGCCGAATGACTGCTGACTGTGCTAGCAAGATCGGTTTGAGGAGCGACCGACTGCCACCTAGCCACTAAACTGACATAGAGACGCCCAAGGACCTGCAAAAGCTCCAATGCCACATTTTGAAGGCTCTTCTTCGTGCGCTGTAGACGTCCCGATGCCAGCTCCTTGATTATCTGCAGGGTAATGGTCAAGATGTTCGAGATGTAGAGATTCGCACTGAGATCCTCGTTGGCGGCTCGAAGGTGTTGTATTATGACGTTGATGACATCCGGCCAGTCATGGGGGAATTCGTACCGAACAATCTTCGCGAGCATTAGAGCATTCTGGAGTGCAAGGGCTGAGATGGGTTCGTGAACGCCCGCTTCGATAGCCCTCGATCTGATCTGTTCCTTCTCGGTCTTGCTGATAGGATTTACGGACGTCTTCCTCCAGTGTTTGTCGATGCCATTCTTGAGTTGGATGATGGCCTGGAAGCGTACTTCTTGGCTGAGGGAGAAGTCGGCGTAGACATCTTGAAGGAGAGCATAATAGCCAGGCGACTTTTCCCAGTTCCCAATCTGTTGCGTGGCCACTTTCAGACTCTGGGCCGTGGGCAGTGAGGCGCTTTGGAGGGTAGATATGACAGCATTCCTGGTCAGAGGATTAGTTTCACCCTCGGCCTCGATACTGAAGGAGGGCATCTTCGTCGTGGAGTGACCTAAATGCTGGCGACACTTGTCATGCTGGTGTTGAAGAGAAGGGATCTTTGGCAAGAGGAGAGATTGTAAAGTGCCGGCAAGATTCTTGTCAACATGAGACCGAGATTGATGGAGAAGGCTCTGATGAAACACATTAAAGGAGCCCCAGCCTTTCGTTGTGGCTTCACACAATGGGCAGCAATAAAAATGGTCTGAAAAGGGCTACTGGTGCCTTAAAACAGCAAGAGGCTGCGGCTCGCGACGAGGAACACAACATGGACGGATCGGCGAAGCCACTGGCCAAACTATCACCGAAGCCAGCCTCGGCTGCTCATTAATTTAATATTCTTGTCTCTCAACCTGGACCAGAAATCTTCTGATTGTCCTTCTGCGTCCCCCCCTTTCTGCGTGCCACCTTCAGATGACCACGTCATGTCATCCAGCAGCTTTGCCGCTGCTCAAGAACGCATCCTAGCACGGCAGACAGCCAGACAACAGGAAGCCCGCGCCGCCCTCACGCTACAGCCCGAGATCAACAGTAGCCGCTCCTCCTTCGCCCGACTCACGCAGTCCCTACGACCCAAACTATCATCGTTCTGGATAACTCTGCTAGAGTCGGAAGGCACACGACCCGCCTTTAGAGTCGGGCAAGTGGATGCTGAACTTCTCGACGAAGAGTTGCTGGGTTTATTGAAGACACAAGTGGCGGATGCTCTGAAATACCTCGGACCACATCTTCAGGATGACTGGTCGCAAGAAATTCTACTTGCTCTCCGGGCGGTCTTGTTCAAACTATCTATATGGGACAATGACGCTTCGTACGGCGCAGCTCTACAGAACCTCCGATACGTTGACGCGAGAAAACCTGGACAGGCCCTTCCCAAACCAACAAGATGGCAAAAGAGCCTCTACGGGCTTTTGACCGTCTTCGGACGATATGGATGGGATAAGTGGGAAGACTGGCTGATTGATCAAGAGCGAGGCTATACAGCTCCTTCAGACGCCGTCCAGACGCTGATGCGCTTCACCTCCTTCATCTCCACAACCCATTCGATCGCCGCTTTTTGCTCCTTCCTGGTATTTCTTGTGAATGGGCGCTACCGGACCCTTACAGATCGCTTGCTGAGGTTGAGACTTATGTCGCCATCGAATCAAGTTAGCCGGGAAGTCTCGTTTGAGTACCTAAATCGTCAACTAGTCTGGCATGCCTTTACAGAATTTTTACTATTTCTTTTGCCGTTGGTCGGCATCAGTCGATGGCGAAGATGGCTCTCCAGAATGTGGAAAAAAACAAAAGATGCGATGAAATCACCGACACAAGCAGAGGACGACGGCGGTAGGATAAAAAGCGGACCGTTGGCTTTTCTACCCGAGCGGACTTGCCCAATTTGCTATCAAGACCAGAACCCAACGTCTACGTCTGAAGCCGAGATCCTAGGAGCGAATACCGCCGCTGGAGGAGGCGTCATTGGTTCGGCCACTACCGACGTGGTGAATCCTTACGAAACAATACCATGCGGCTGTATATACTGCTTCGTGTGCATCGCCACTAAGATCGAAGCAGAGGAGGGTGCTGGTTGGACATGTCTGCGTTGTGGAGAGATCATCTATAAATGTCAGCCTTGGAACGGTGATATTGTTTTGGCTGAAAAGAAAGCCAGTAATAAAAACACCAAATCAGTTGGATTTTCTGTCGCCGACGACCACTCGGGCGAGCGGTATCGAGATGAACCGTCCGAAGATACACCGGAAATGATGGACTCTACTCTAAACGCAAGCCAATGGACAATGGCGGATCACGAGTCTTCCAGCAGTTCATAATTCAAAGCAGGTAACGCTGGAGTTTGCGATGCCGTTGTGATTCGCACCCGGGTCCACCGGTAGTCATGTATTCACGCTTCGGAAGCAGTGACGCTGAAGTCGATGAAATCTGTCAACATGTGTGAAGACGAGACACCTGCTGAAGGGATGTGGAGAGGCATATGCGCCGAATGTATTACCACGTTTGAGAGTCTCGTTCTGTGGACACCAAAAGCTCACTCCATCCTATTTCACAGACTCTGCTACAGCCGGTCCGCTGGTCGACTCAGGTATACGTGTTCCCATTGGCGACCAACTCTTCGAATGTTCCTTTGTCATGGCCTGGGATAACCTTACCCTTGGTCGTCCTCTCCAATTGCTTCAGCCGTTGAGTGCTCTGGAACCATGATGGGTGATCTCTGGCGAGCCATCCCTGAGGGATACCGTCGCGCCACTGGAGCGACAGTTCAGTACTGAGCAGATCGATAGGTGAATGGACACTCACATTTTCGATAACGTGACAGTGGTCACTGATGAAGAAGAACGTACCACTATCGGGCATATTGATTTGCATTCCAATCAATCCTGTTACCTATCTATCAGCAACTTCTTTTTCGGAAACAGGCATAGCACTCTCACCGTCAGTATGTCCTGGGAGGTGGTGCAAGGTGATACCTTGGCAGAAATCGAACGTTCGCTCATCGAAGGTTTTCCAATTCCTACAAAATATCAGCATCATGGACACATGACAGCCTGGGGCAGGGACGACATACAAGCTCAGTTTGAGGTAATGTTCCATGTAGACACCCACATCTGCACCCGTCGCGACAGACCAGAAAGCCGACTTGAGTTCCCGATCGTGGACCCAAATTTCAACGTCTTTTTTGTCGAGGAATTCGTCCAATCCTCCCGCATGGTCGAGATGGAGATGACCGATGATGATTTTCTTGATATCCTCGAGCTTGTTTCCAGTGGCCTCTACCGCAGCCTTCAGCTCATGTTGAGGCTCATAGCGCACGCGCGAGAACAGGTCAGAGAGCACGGGACCCCAGATCTCCGGGTAGTCCTTGCCACACCCTGTCTCCCACAGGATGAGACCCTCATGTGGGTGCTCGATAAGGATACAGTACATGGGCAGCTCTCTCCGTTTGTTGACAAAGGAGTTTTTTTCGGTGCTCTTGAGGCTGGTGTTCCCGCCACGAACCACGAAAGCCTCGTCACACTCGAGCCAGCCCACCTCGAGGACGTGAAATTTGGTACCTTTGGGGCAGACATTGGAGACATGGTTAGGCACGGCGCCCCGGTCGATTTGGGCTTGGATAGCAGACATCGTGGAAGACAAGCGACGATATGAACCACGGACTGGAAAATCAGAGCGCAGGTCTGGGAGAGGCAGATGGCCCGGATCTGAAATACCGGATTTTGAGGGGCTCCTACATTACAGCTGTCGAGCTCGCCCCGCATCCCAAGAGCACTCCGCCTGCGGAGTGTGGACGAAGCTGAGGCAACAATGGCCGTTTACGGCGTCTCGAAGGGGGAGTGGAAGTGGAGACAGCGAAGCAGGGGCATTTTCCGAGATTGCAGCAACGTCTTGGGCTCTCTAGGTTGACGACATGGTGAAATCAAGCCTCGGATTTCGCACCAACGGGGAACCACAGTGGGAATTTCGAAATGGCGAGAGGGGAAACGATGGGGGTTTTCAGATGACTGTGACGTACCAAGAACCCAAGGACACTCCCCGCCGGCAAAGCACCGCAAGGTCTCCTATTGGATCTTTTTGAGGAGGGGCGCAGAAGGGGGGCAGATCTATCTTGATTCTCCTCTGGATGGGGATGCATCCGAGGCACCCGAGTACTCCAACAACACCATGGGGATGGATTTGCATGTCTTTGGTTCTATTCAACGTCTCTTCAAGTAGCGAACCAGCTGAGGCACAAAGCTGCGGCTTGTTTTCCTCTGCTGGTGGAGCACCAAGCTCCGCATTAGCTCGCCTTCTCTCTATCAAGACTTTTGCTTGTTGCTTCCGTGGTTCCGCCGAAGTTTATCCTCCTCCTGTTCAATGGCCCTCAGTTTTCCCAACTCCAGCATTGTTCTCTCCATTTGTCATTGCCACCCTGTCAGTTGTCGCAAATGAAAGGGACAGGTGAAATGGCTGCAAGATAAAAGGGATCTGTGGTGGAAGCGGCGGGGAAAGGCGTGAGCGACGTGCTCGAAATGGCCGAGAGCTGCGTGCTTTGCTTCTTCGGAGGCCACGATAATGGTGAAAATGGGATCGTCGAGGACGATGTTCGCCATCGTCTTGCAGGTCAAGTTAAGGAGGATGAGGTCCCGGTAGGAGAGTTTGGTTAGGATTAGAAGGACTACTTCGTGAGGGAGGTCTCTCATGCGGGAGACGAGGTGGGCCGCTTCACTCGAGGAAGAGAGGCCGTCTGACGTCGGAGCACAGATCTGGACGCACGCCTTGTCAGAATGTCCTCACAACATGAGACTGGACATTAACTACCGTCTGTGGGATGTGGAAAGGCGGTATTGCCTGAGCCAAGTGTGCCATCGTACCAACGATTTGTCATTGTCGAACGCCGGGTCTACCGAAACGGTCACGAGAACAAGGAAGGATAGCCGAAGAGATATTTATGAATGTGAACTTTTTGAAAATTTGAACATGGCAATTCATTACGTTCATTGTTCCTTGAAAAATATTGACTGATGGACGAAGAAGGGAAGCGCTCAGTTCATACCAGCGCCGCCCCCCACAGCTATCTGGTTATGACACTCTGGTACAAAACCGAGCTACTTCGAGAGCTTTTGCGGTCGACGCCGAAGGCAAGCCATGCTGGGAGACCGAGAGGAGGAAGGCCTACGACGTGACATCTCTGTCGGGAGTAGTGTTTTTGAGGATAGGTGGGTGCACTCAGCCTTGCCGCACAAGGACCAGCCCTATTTGCCACAAAGACAGAGTCACAACTGGTTGTTGAACGAGATGAGAGGCCTGATTTCATCACCTTTCCCGGCTAACTAGGTAACATCCTGCGTTCTTGATGAACACAATGCCTTGCACCTGAGAGTCCCAGAGGTGAGAAGAGTCTAAAAGCGGCGTACGCTCAAAGTGAAGTGGGAGTGAAATAAGCTAGCCCATAAAGAGACTAGCGCACATGTGGTCTTAGCAAATGTCGGGGGAACGAATGACTGGCGGATGAAGTGGGAATGAATCACCAACACTTCACAGCCCCATGACCACCACTCTCACAACAACAACCACTTCATTGTCTCGATTTTCCAGCCAAGCTCTTCTGCCACTTCACTCACAATCTTCACTACTGCTGCACAAAAAAACTAGAGACATGAAACGCCGTGCATCCCGCTTGACCTTCCCAAACAGACCTACCTTCCTCTAACCATCGCCCCTCCCGATCAAGATCCAGAAGGTCGCCTCCCCCCGAAAGTGCACATGCCGGACGACCAGAAGCTCCCGTCATGGGACCTCGACGATGCCATCAGACTCTTGAATAGTCTTGCCCTCAAGTACAGCGATGCTCCAGCCAGCCATGGACCTGTCAATTACAAGAACAAGGACAAAGCAGACGACAACACTGGCGAAGGCTCACTCGGTGACTTCTCTATTGTGTGGGATTACCTGGGGTGCCCTCACACTGCTGATGAACAGCAAGCTGCAGAGCTCGTCAAATATGAGGTCAACGATGAAGAGGTGGCGGAAGTCGATCTGAACCAGATCAGCAAGGGCGTGCGTTGGCGAGATGAGGTGGATGGCGCTGACCTTGAAGACAACGTCGAACCTCCAAATAATAAGGCCACTGCCGCGTACATTCGCAACCAGAAGCGTGCCGCGAGGAGAGCCAGAGCCAGGGGAAGAGCTGAAAAGCTCCCCACCCAGGAGAGGACTGTCTCCGACACCACGGACCTGGAATCAGGAGAAGAACTCGAGTCGCTACGTCGCTCCCCGGACCGCAGAGCTGTTATTGACAGTATTCTCGGCCGCAGCCGACCAGGCTTGCGCGACAACAGTTCCCCTCCAACCTCTCCCTCGCCTCCCAAGGTCGAAATCAGAACTCCGAAACGGGATTACCCTGTCTCCAACCCCTTTGTATGGCCCATCACGCCTGTCATTACGCCTTCGCCACACACAGTCATTGTTCCTCGTGATGGATTGACCACCAGAACCAGAAAACAAGCTCTGATTACCCAATTGATGCGTCGTCATCCTGAAGAGCAAACATATCTAAAGAATGTTGGACTACTTGAACCTGCCTTTACTCCACTGAATACGTCTGACATTGGCATCCATGTCTTCGTTGACATGTCGAATATATCCATCGGCTTCCACGATTGCTTGAAATTGGCACGTGGTATGCCGCGTGAGACCCGCCTTAGACGAGTCCCTCTCTCATTCCACAACCTTTCTCTCATCCTCGAACGCGGTCGTCCATGCGCCAAACGTGCCCTGGTTGGTTCCGACAAATATGCGGCAATCCATCAGGCTACCTCGATCGGCTATGAAACCAACATTCTCGAGCGCGTGCACAAGGCCAAGGAACTAACGCCGCGTCAGAAGAAATATCAGTCCCGGTCTGGAGGTGAGACAAGTGGTTCTGAAACGAACGCAGGTCTTCCCAGACTGTCGGCTCCGGAGAAATGGGTCGAACAGGCTGTGGACGAAATTCTACACCTGAAGATCCTCGAATCGATTGTTGATTCGGAGAAACCTAGCACCATTGTTCTCGCCACTGGCGACGCTGCCGAGGCCGAGTACTCGGGCGGGTTTCTGCGGATGGTCGAACGCGCCTTGGAAAAACAGTGGAAAGTGGAGCTGGTCAGCTTCAGGCTGAATACCAGTAGCTTATACAAGAGAAGGGAGTTCCGCATGAGGTGGGGACACCTGTTTAAATGTATCGAGATGGATCCGTTTGTCGAGTTTTTGATCGATGAGGACGAGACCGATGGTTAGGAGCCATGGCGAAACCCCTTTGGATCGAACCCGATACCCAATCCCATGTTCGCGCCCACTTTCGGCAGGGTGCCACAAATGTCGACCACTCGCGTCCTGGCTTACGTTGAAAAGTCTATGAAGGATGCAAAGAAACGGTTGGAGCAGTTACAACAAGCAAGACTCTACCACCAACTTGTTCTCAGGAGAGGTGCAAGTGGTTGAGGATTTGATCGAACATGCATGGTGTAGACGATGTGCGATGGATATAGGTGCGAAATCGCTGGGCTGTCTTGTAACTCAAGCATCACACATTGGAGACTAGCACGTTGAGATAGCTGTTCTCAGGCCAAGATATGCTAGATGAGTGGAACATTGCTTGTCTCCAGTCGGGCTGTCTCGAAGCCGTCGGATGAACAGAGACATATGATTCACAACTCCCACGTGGCAAATGTATCCGAGCGCGGAACCACGAGATGGAAGGCCTAACAAGCATGAACAAGCAACGGATCTCCAAATATCAAGTCAGAATATCAACCAGAAAACATATGTACCCTGTACTCCATCAGGACATACTGTACATGAGTACGAGAGTAACAGAGTGCCTCGTATTATGAGTAATACGACGTACCCCACCTTCCCCCACTTTTCACTCGGTGGAGCCAATCTTTGCCGTTTCTGGTCGGGCGCTAAACTCACTGCCATTCCCTCTTTGTCCTCTTCTATTGTTTCGGACTCTCGCTTTTTCCATATCTCCGAGGGGTTGTTCTCTCTTCATGTCCACAATTGTCCGCAGTACGCACTTTCGTACAAGCCGCTGCGTATCGGTCGAGTTTCGTCCGTCGACCTTGAAATGATATCTCGGTCTCCTTTGCACCTGGACATGGTACAGAACATGGCCAAACCTGCGTTCGAAAGGTCCGAATACACCGACCACTGGACGCCAAAATGGATTCGAAGCTCTATGACTCAACGCACCCTACGCCAATCTCGGGGGGGTTAAGACTCAGGGCCACACTTACGACTACTTTGGTTCCCATTGTCACCCTGCCATTTGTCGGGCCTTTTGTACGAGATACATCATTACCAATCTCTCTGCTGCGATCCGAAGCTTAACTGGTCATGATTGGTCTATTGACCGATCGCTTTCGAAACCCCCTCGACAGCCAAAGGGTACAAAGACTGTCCGAGGTTTTCTCCGATTGACATTCAGAACATCCAGGGAGCGTCTTCGTCTTTTCTAAACATTTGATTCTTGATTCTCAATAAACTTGGCCTGGTCCAATTCGATGGCGGGTTTTCCCTAGGATACATACAGAAATCTTGGCCGAGCTATTTTTCGAGGGGCATTGGCCAATAGCCCAGGCTAGCGACGATATCTGGCCACGAAAACGGCGCTGCAGCAAAGTCCAGCAGTTCCAGTCATTATGGCAGCGACGATGGACCAGGATTTGGAAAAATCCATAGAGGTGGTGGCCGATCCCACCTCGAGTCCCGATCGGAGCGCGCAGGGCGAGAACAAGGTCGAGGCAGCCGAAGGTGATGAGGTCCCGGTGACTCCAGCTGTTAATCCAATGGACCCATCTCAGTTCCCGGATGGAGGACTCAAGGCCTGGACGGTCGTGTTTGGGGCTGCATGTGGCATCTTTGTCAGTTTCGGCTGGATCAACTGTGAGTCTCGACAGAAGAAACCCGTGGCTTTGCGACTAACCTCGATGGCGAACCAGGCATCGGTGTCTTTCAGGAATACTATGAAACGCATCAGCTCAAGCAATACTCGTCGCAGGAAATCGCGTGGATTCCCTCCCTCGAGGCGTTCATGATGTTCGTCGGCGGTCTCTGGGTCGGCAGAGTGTATGGTACGGCTTGTTTTCCCTCTTCCAGCTTCTTGCTCTTGTCTCCGATGTCTCCGCTTTGACGCTTATCTGGAACTGACGGTGTTTTGTTTTTCTGCGATAGATAACTATGGTCCTCGGATTCTCCTTGTGCTGGGCACGTTCCTGCACGTCTTTGGCCTGATGATGGCCTCCATCTCCCACAAATACTACCAGTTCTTGCTCTCCCAAGGCGTGTGCTCCGCGCTGGGCGCCTCGATGATCTTCTACCCCTCCATGTCTTGCGTCGTGACGTGGTTCTTCCGCCGCCGTTCCCTCGCATTGGGTCTTGGAGCCACCGGGTCGAGCATCGGCGGTGTCATCTTCCCGGTCATGGTTCAGAAACTGATCCCCGAGGTGGGGTTTGGCTGGACGATGCGCATCTGCGCTTTCTTGGTTCTGGGGTTGATGATCCTGGGGAACCTGACTCTCGTTAGTCGCATCCCGCCCATGGCAAAACCCGTGAGGCCCATGGACTTTGTGAAGCCCTTTCAGGAGGGGAACTTTGCTTTGCTGGCTTTTGGGAGTTTCTTGTCTTTCTTAGGTACGTATTTTCTCTTGCCGGTCAGCCTTGGGATTTTATCCTTCCAGCAAGCGCTCAGTGGCTGATTGAGAACCGTCCGATTAGGTCTGTTCCTCCCCTTCACGTTCATCATCCTTTCTGCCCGCGCTCAGGGCGTTCCGGACTCTCTCGCCAAATATCTGGTCGCAATCCTCAACGCCGCTAGCACATTCGGTCGTACGATCCCGCCATTCTTCGCCGACCGACTCGGCCGCTTCACAGTCTTCCTCTCGGTCACGCTGCTCTCCTCTCTCATCACCCTGTGCCTTTGGGTAACTTCTTCCGGCACGGCCGCCACCGTCGTTTTTTGTCTCATCTTCGGCTTCAGCTCCGGGGCCGCCGCCAGTATCTTGCCCAGTTGTGTGGCGCAGATAAGCCATATCAGTCAGATCGGCGTGCGGACGGGGTGTTTGTTCAGCGTGGTCGCGGTGGCGGTGCTGGTCGGATCCCCGATCGGGGGCCAGCTGATCACCAACGATGGATACAGGAGCATGCAAGGCTTCAGCGGTGCGATGTTGGCAGCAGGCTCTGTGGTCTATGGCATACTCTGGATCAAGCTTGGGGGATTGAAGGGTAAAAGGGTATAACTGTCATTGAGTTGGAAAAAGGAGGCAAGCAATACGCGGCGTTGCAAGGGAATATCATGTTTGTTTCTTGACCGTTGTATCGCCTCGAAAATACACCCATGTCTACTCAGCACGCGATCGTTGTTGAGGTCTGGAATGGTTGTTGTTTTCATGCTTGCACGTTGAGTAGGGGAAGAGGGTTTACTTTCATCTGGGTGGAGTTTTTCTTTTCTTTTCTGGATCTGCATGGCACGGACAAGCGTGCATTGGATTATATTCCATCCCGTCATACATACCCATTGAGATGAATGATTTCTTCTACAAGTCCAAGGCAAAGGTTGATTGAGTCTGGCACGAGTTTTTTTGTAGCACCGAATAGAAGCCGATGGAATGACGTAAACGGCTTAGGACAGACGCCGCGACACCCTGAAGCACCTGAGCCGCTGTCACAAAATGTCAGAATCTTTTCCATCTTCACGCTGCCACCAGGAGACTCGGTGGCCTTGTGGCGTGTCAAACAATATGGTGGTACAGATGATTTCTCCAGCCCGCCAAAATCTCAAATATGCAGAGTGAACATCCTTCGCTGTCCGCACCTCAAGAAGGCCTCTTGCCCAACCACTGAAAAAGGTCCAGCACGTCCGACAGGAAAATCTCCGGCAATATTGAAGACTTGTGAGAATGCCGCGGAGGGACTGCATAGCCTCTGACAATCTAGTTCTGGGATGAGGAGGCATTCGGCGAGCGCGGCAGACAACGGGTCACATTCCCCAAAGAAAAGAGTCGATGGCCGACAGCCACCGCCCCGACAAGCAATGGCGCTCCAGATGTACAGGCGGAAGCGACCCCGACGAGCATCGAGTGATGGGTACTCTGTCGAGGAGATCTCGGCCGACGACATGGGCTACGATGGGGACATTGAAGTGCTTTTACCCGACCAATACGAAGAACCCGACTCGGATTTCGAAGATGACAAGGCGCTCCGAAGGCTGTGGCCCGATACAGACGATGAGCTGGCCAGCAAACTACGAAGGCTGTCCTGTGATCCTCATTCCTCACGCCACCCTCGACGGGACGATGATGGGGAGCGAGGACGGAAACGCATGTCGAGGGAAATGGACGATGATGACGCCAATGTCCCGCCTAAACACGCAGAGATCGAGGTGTCGGAGCTTGTAGACGGACACGCTGGACAACCTCCACTGAAGAGAAGGAAGAACAGGAACAGCAAGCCACCACTGGGACGGCAGGCTGCGAAGAAGCAGATCGCAGAGGCCTGGTCTGATAGCTCCGATCGATCCGAGGAGGCCATGGTCGAGTCGTTGACGGGGACGCCCGAGGGAACAAACACGCCATCAACACCGCTGAAGAACGGCGGGGCTGAGCACGAAGACCAAGACCTTGACGCCATGGACCTTGGATGAAAAAGGATGGTGGTGATGGAGGATATACATTGTGGAATGCACCTTGGGATATATCTACTCGTAACGCGCAGGTGGACTGAGTTAATGTACTGCGACTGTGGGTTAATACTTTGTGTTCGGCGATAGGCGATAGGCATTAGGGTAGTTCTGGCACCTAGACACCCAGATTGGGACAATTAGCGAGCCATTTGGCGGGGTTGACGGGCGGTTCCTGACTAGTGGAGGAGCAACTAGCATCCTCTTTCTCTTATTCGGTTCTTCCCCCTCTCGCGTCACTCCCTCTCCAGTCCCTCCGCTGCTCTCCACCAGCCGAACCAAAGACTTTCTCCGATCTTTGTCTCACCACCACGTCTTGTGCCCTCCCGCGGCTGCAGCTTGTGATAGAAGCTTCCACCACCGCACGGCTCTCGTTCCGATCTTACATCATTGTGCCTCTGGGCCTGGTAGCCTCACAGGGTGGACTAACTTTAGCTGCACTTCCTCTCCCAGCACCATGACAAGAACGAGCTTGTTGCCGCGGACCCGACTCCAATGGCTCTTTGATCTCTGTTGTTCATCCTGCCCACCCTCCCCTTCCCATCAAACCACCATCCTAGTCTCCTTGTTCAGCCCTCCGTAGTCTTCCACATATCTTTCCCATCACTCTGATATCGCATCCGAGCCCCACAATGACCGGTAGACGCTCTTCCGCTCGCATCGCTGCGCAAACCCAGAGCTCCCAGAGCTCGCAAAATTCTTCCCCGGCGCACCCAAAGCCGTCGCCGGCTGGCAAGAAACGTAAGAACGAGACGTCGGGCTCTTCACCAAGCGCGAAGCGAGGCAAGAAGGATGCGCAGCTCGAGCAGAAGACGTTGGAGGAGTCCCTACAACAGAAGTACTTGCGCTTCTCCATTTCGCCCGTCGCATCCCAGCTAACATATTCTACCTAGTGGAGCTCACGAGGAACCTGCCCCTGACAAGGCTGATCAAGAAATGGCTGAGCCAGAGCCAGAGCCAGAGCCAGAAAAGCCCAAAGATCCAAAGGCTGAGGGGCCTAATGGTGAAGCCGCTGAGGCGAAAGCGCAGGATGAGCAACCCAAAGAGGAGGAAAGCACTGAGCAGGAGAAGCACACTGAGGCTGAAGACGCCAAACCTGAAGTCTCCGAGCCCAAAGAGGCAGAGCCCAAGGAGGAGGCCAAACCCGCCGAGACAAACGGCGACGCTGTTGAGCCCGGCGCGCGCGAAGACGATGTGCCCTCCAGCATCCTTGAAAAGGGCATCATCTACTTTTTCTTCCGCGCCCGGGTCAACGTCGATCATGCCGAGGACATGAAAGATGTTGCGCGTTCTTACATGGTCATGCGACCCATTCCTCTCGACGCGAAACTCGGGGATGGCCCCATCGGTGACGAAGGAAACTGTCGTCTCCTGGCTGTCCCGAAGAAGGTACTTCCCAAAAGTGGCAAGGACCGATTCGTTACCTTTGTCGAGAAGTGCAAGACTAGTTTTGCGGAGCTCAAAGACTCCTTCATGGCCGGCTCAGAGTATGAGACCAAGACTGCTGGCACGAGGCACATGCCCCCAGTCACTCCACTTGCCGAGGGAGTTTATGCAATCACTTCTACGGGGCGCGAGTCGCATCTGGCCTACATCGTCAATATCCCTGCCGAGATTGGTGAAATGCAGAAGGATTTTGGCCTCAAACAGCGTGGAAGTTTCGTGACCAGCATCAAGAACCCTGAGCAACCTCCTCTGGGCAACCAGAATGTGCCGCAGGGACCTAAGTACCCCCAGGAGATTATCGACGAATTCCGGGGTCTTCGGTGGAAGCCTTTAGAACCAAAGTACTTGGACTATGACAATGCACAATTTCTGATGATCGGAGAGGATTATGAAAAGGCTACCGAACAACGCCCCAAGGATGAACGCGAGAACAATGCTGCGCCTGAAGATGAAATGGAGAAACTGGAGGGTGAGGATGAGATCCGGATTAAACATTTGAAAGGTGAGTGTAACCGAATGTCTCATGTGTAACATAGCTGATGGTCACAGGCGATGATGCTGTCTTTACGGATCTTGGTATCACGTCGAAGGAATTCCCCAAAGTTTCAACCACTTGGTAATTGCCGCCTCTTGACAATGGTTTAGGAGGTCAGGTGGTCAATCAATGTCTTGATCAAGCTCAATGTCACGCACGGTCCTGATAGGAAGGGAAAGTTGGAAAAAGCGCTCCATAGCCAAGTTGGCGGATTAATTCATGCTCTACCGAGGCCACGGAGCTGGTGTGCTACGTATCAATGTACGCTCAAGAGATGATGGGGAAAGTATTTGCATCGTCGTTGAGATGATCGACTTGATGAATACTACAGACCGAAATGGATAATATCTTCCTAGGTCGTTGAAGGACTGTTTAATCCTTTCTTGGGTTCATCCTCCTTCCTCTCTTTGCCTGAATTTCTCTCAACGACCTCGATTCTATTGCACCTGTTTCAGAATCTGCTACAAGACAGACAGAGTGACGGATGAATGAGTACAATAAATGCGAGGTACATAGATACTTACATATTGAGCACCCGCTTTTATTTGACCTTGTGTTGACCCCGCGAGTCGACGCGAGGTTTTTTGACACTGACACTGCCATTGCCGTCGTCGTTGTCGCTGCTGTTGACTTGTACCGTGGATCTCCTGGCTTTTTCTACCTCTTCTCGTGGCGTGACGTCTGCTAGTAGATCTGCGGGAGTTGTCCTCCTTCCCACCCCGAACCTCCCTCCCGCCCTGCGCTTCCGACTAAGAGGCTATTGTCGCCTGGTTGTGCGGTGAGGTGAGGTGGCGAGGATCTTTTTTCTCTCTCACGCAGAACAGGCCGTGGATCACTTCAAGTTTCTTTGTATTTGTTTATCTATCTGTCTATACGGTGTCAATGTATGGAGATAGACGACTCGTTGGACCTTGAGCGTGGTTTGTCTCTCGATCACTCCTCGGCTTGTAAGAGTACAAGGACTATGGAAATGGAGAAAAGTACTTGTAAGGGTCAAGTATGTGAATCCAGGTTCCGTGAGGAGGAGATCAGTGCCCTTGTAAATAGGTGTCTACACCTAGAGATGTCCGTGCTGTGTAATTTGAATCCTCTGTCCTTTGCGCTTGAAGTGTCTCAATAATATGTTCTAAGTGGATATATCACATAGGAGCCATGTCTGTACCTATCGATGTAGGTATGCAGTATTAAAGCATGGACCTTGGAGTCCAGTCCACCTTCCCGAGTCAAAGAGGTAATTCCAGCCAAGCCTTGGCGGTTCGCCACTAATCCTAAACAAGTATCCACATTTCCCTAATCAATCCGGAAGCGACCTCGACCCAATTCCCCCCGACAACTTTACACTGACCAACACTTGCCAGTGACCGCTGAAGGAAGGACCTCCCACTCTACGATCAATCACCTTTAGTTGGAATGCAAGCCTTCACCATGACCGGGGCAGCTCCGTTCCTGCCGCATCCGTGGTCGCGAGATGGCTTTCTTCGAGCTCATCTGCGTGATTGCGCCATCGTCCAACTCTAGCGTTAACAGCGTCCAGTCGGGAGACCCCAGAAGCCTCGTATGTCATTCCAATCAAACTTGACCTACTTACAGCCTGGCTATATTGCGCACTTCGCTTCTGGGTTGGTGTGGTAGTGTGGACATGTCGCGACACCCTTGGTTACCCTGTACCAGTTGTCAGAATGTGTGAAGCGATGGTGGACATATCGTCGGCTATCGGCAGCGCATCGCTCCCCTTTCCCCACCTACTTCAAGTGTACAGACACCAGCCTCCTATTTGTACCGAATACAAGGACAAGAAAGCCATCTCTGGGCGCATACAACTGCCTCATAGACTTGACGAGTACGCCTCGAGTGGAAACCGCTTCTTGTGATAGGCCCTGTTTCAGTGTGAGTACCCTAGTATATGGTGGCTGAAATAGAAATCCGCGACCTCGATGGCGCATGCACCGCCCTTGGGCTGCCACAAGTACCTACTCGGTTACATGGTCGACACAATCTCTGGAACCCCGGCGCGTTCTGGGGTGCCTCTCCCTACCCCGCCGGATGAATGCTCGTTGGTACACTGTGTGTCACCTGTCACCTATATCCGCAAGCGCTTACCATTTCTGCCGGTGGGCGCTTATCGAGATGGGGCGCCAAGTAGCAACCTGCATACTCGCATGTACCCATTACTACCTAGTGAGCTGGATACTTATCTCCCTTACAGGGCTGCGAATGCAACCACCCCTATGTCTTGCATTCATACTGTCCCTTGAATTGACAGAATCTCACAGGCTTGCTACCTTCTCTCCAGACCGTGGCTCTGGAAAACAAAGGCTCGGGCCACGGCACAATGGGGGTTCCATCTGTCAGCCTCGCCCCGATGGCCGAAACATACACCTGGTGGTCTGTCACTTCTCCAGCAGGGAACGTGTGGAAGCCTGCACGTCTCCGACATTAGCGTCGACTTTCTGGAATAGCATCCTCTAGCTCCTGGTCGAGGGGTGGTTGGAGGATTTGGTCACAGAGCACGACATGGGTGTGGTTAATTGTCCAAAAGGTCCCTCCATCAAATCTGCCCGTGTCTTCTTCCTCAACGATTTAAGGTCAATGTCGACAGAACTCTCTGCCTTCGACCTGTACTGGACAACCACTCAATCACGAGAACTCGGCAGCCATGGTGAAACGACCAGTGAGTCCAGCTATATCTCAGAGACACTGCGGAAGGAGAAAGCTGACACTAAATGTCCGGCTATAGGTCACCTACCCTGTCGCCGATTCATCTGCGCTCGTTGCCATTCAGGTGCAACTTCCACATGATGACAGTGAGCGAAGCAATCCAACGCAATTTACTCCTGCTTCCACTAGAAGTCCCTTCGAGGTCATTGACCCCCGCGAGACTCCAAATTTCGACCCGGATGTACCAATCCCTTCGATCGAGAGAGAGCCTGTTTGCTCCTCGAACCTCCTTCCTCGCAGCAACTTATCTGTGCGGCCCAGAACCCCTTCCTTTTCTATCACGCCTCCTGCTCCAGAGGCAACTACTACCCCGGTCCCTTCGGTTTCTGCGAGCCGTGGGACAAGTCCGACACCATCGTCCACAGTGTCCGGCCTCAATGAGCTTATCAGAGACTTAGAGCTTTCTGGAGAGCCGGGGGAGCATCCGACATCACATAGCAGATCTGATTCTCTTGGGGAGCGCCATTCCCAGCCTTCTCCAACGACCCCCGCTGCTGGTCGAAGTTCTGTGGACGATGTCACCCACACCCTGAACAATATCAGGTTGGGCACAGAAGGTAGCCGGGCCGGCACCCCTACCCCGGAGACTTATCTCAATCCGCGGTCTCCAAGCCCCAGTCTATCCATTGATGATGCCAATCGCAGTTCAAGATCTGCTTCTCGCCGTCGGTCCGGCTCTTTTGTTGATCCCGCCCCTCACAATGTTGCGGAGGAAGAACCTCCAGCAGAGCCGTTCCACCAGCCAGAGTTCCAACGAGAGCTTGCCAAAGCAGAGAACCTTGTGAAGGATCTAGTCAGCATCCTTGCCAGCTCAACACTGCACAATGAAGCTCAGTCTCGCATCAACGCCCTTCACTTGCAAGCCGTCGATTTGAGCCGCTTCCAAAAGCCCTCAACTCGTATTGTGGGCCTAGTAGGAGACGCCGGGGCTGGTAAGTCGACTCGGAATTGCCCCTTGACGGGTTGTCGCTGATCGTGCACAGGCAAAAGCAGCGTCCTGAATTCACTTCTGGACTTCAAAGGGTTTGCTCGATCGGTTAGTAGCGAACTGTTCCTGTCCGTAACCAAACTATTGCTAAGTCTAGGGTCGATAAAGAGTGGCAGTGGGCGGGCGTGTACTTGCGTCGCAACTGAGTACCATCACCATGAACACGATTATTTCGCTATAGAAATGGAATATTTCACTCTCGATGAGATCTCCAGTCAACTTACCGAACTTTTGCAGTCATATCGACACTTTCCCCTCCGCACTGGTCAAGACGCCCAAGACGAGCAGTGGAAAGATCTCAGGGAGAAAGCGGAGGTTGCTGAACATACATTTCAAGCAGCCTTTCGGGATCACCTGGTGGACAATGTACAACTCCTTAAGGAGGGGTCCGAGGAGACTGTGCTCCAGAAATTACTCACGTGGACCAGGAACTCCGGTTTGCCCCTAGGGGAGAGGCCAGGCGCAAGCCCCAAAACAGAGGTCTTCAATGAAGCAGGCCAATGTTCAGACCGCTTGATTGAACTTACCTCTGAGCCAAATTCTCCGAACCAACCTTCGACCTGGCCATTCATTCGAAAGATCAAGTTCGTGCACGCAACCAAACCCTGTCTTTGTGCCTGTTGTACCTGGCTGATTATGACAGAGTCTACCTCAATGCATATATCCTGAGCAAGGGTCTGGTTCTCGTTGACCTTCCGGGTGAGTAGGCATTCTTCAGTCGACTCATTGTTTTCTAATATTGTCAGGCCTTCGAGACCGCAACTCGGCCCGGGTCAAGATTACTGAGAGATACCTGCTTCAGTGCAATGAGATTTTTGCCGTCTGTCCCATCGCTCGAGCCATCGATGACACTGGTGTGAAGGGGGTTTTCGAGCTTGCAAAAAGGGCTTCCCTGTCGAGGATTGCGATCATTTGTACCAAGTCAGAAGTAAGGGCCGAATAACTAAGAAGACCCCTTGAGCCTATAGAGCTCGCAAAATTTGCAAGGTTGACTTTCTAATGTTCTTCGCAGGACGTTCGAGCGGAAGAAGTCAAGAATGATCACGGCCGAGATGTCAGCGCGACCATTGAGAGGTTGAACCAGAATATCAAGAACTTGAAGGCATTGTTGGACGCCAACGAAAACCAAATAAACCAGATAAGAGCCTTCGATAGTGACACCGAAGATGAAATCGATAGAGAAGAGAGTCAAAGGCTTGTCACACTTCACAGGGTCTCGAGAAAGTTACAGTGAGTCTTTTTGTTCTTGGAGTACATGACCGTGATGCTGACGGACTCCTTTTGTAGGAAGCAGATCGATGAAGCCAAGTTTGTGTGAGTAGTTAGTTCTACCCTCGGGTCCTTGCAGATTAATGACACGAATCCTCCAGATTGAAGACTTTCATTGTCACTACCCGCAACGAGAAAGTCACCGCAGAACTACGGAAAATCTACCAGAGCCAGATCCCTGGGGATGACTTACCAGTTTTCTGCGTCAGCAATTTCCTGTACTGGGCGCATCGGAGGAAACCAAAAGCGGAAGCCATGCCCTCCCTGCAACTCTCTGGGATCTTGGAAGTCCGAAAGTATTGCCTCTCCATCGTCGCTCAGAGCCAGCTTCGGGCAGCCGTTGAGTACATGACCAATGCCATTCCCGCACTACTGGGATCTGTCGAGCTCTGGGTGCAATCTGGCGCGGGAAGTCTAGGAGCTGAAAGGAAACAAGCTGTTCGAGACACTATCCGAGGGATCGAGAGCAAATTAGACACGGTGAGATTTCTGTGAGAGAGACTTTCAATGCCTCTGGGTTGGTCTGATTCGAATATTTACCAAAAGCTAAATCTGTCGGCATCCCCTGTCAATGCCAGCGCGTCATCCATGGAGAGGCAATTCAACGCACATATAGTCCGTGTTATAAGTCTGTCAAGTCCAGTGATGAAACTTGCCGTCGAGCTAATGCTTTGGCAGATCAAAATTCCGACGACTGGAGTGAAGCCGCAGAAAATGCGACCATGGAATGGCAAGGTGTAAGTGATCCAAATCTTCAAATGATGCTTTTCGTTTCAACTAATGCAAGCATTGGCAGTGGCATCACAGTGAGGAACACCCATTTCCCCCCCACTATCTCTCTCCATGCGATGTTGGTGCAGACCTTTGATACTCTGGCAGGTACCTACGCCGCTTTTTGTCGAAACTACGGCGATTACAGCACAAGTTCGACAGAGATTCGGCGCTGTTGGAATCAGGAAGCTATACAAGCCATGATCACCCAGATGGCTACCCCGTGGCGAACCTTTAAACAGGCCCTGGAGGACTCGCAGGATCATCTGCTGAATAGGACTGAGGATTGCTTCGATGAAGCTATAATCCTATGTACGACATGCCGCATCCAGGGAACCGTATTCATCTGACCAAGTGCTGATGATTCTTGGCTGACCAGGTGGTTCAACGAATATCCCGACACGCTCGCTGCAGACCTTGAACGTGACCATGACGCACAGAAAGGCCCTTCTCCTCTCCGCCATGGAGGGACTAGTAGAGGACTTCCAGCGCGATTTATCGTGAGATATTTCCAGCTCCTCTTCCTCAGATGGATCACAGGCTAATTCCACAATCTAGGACGCTCCGAACGGCTGCATTCTCTGGAATTCGCACCTCGTTCATTGGTCAGATCATGGAATCGTCCTACCAGAGGACCATGCTTGAAAAAGGTGAGTTCGTTTGGTTCAGGTCCACGGGCCTCCAAATCCCTCAGTGGCAGCTATACTGGGGGATCGCGGGTTACAGATACAGGACGACTAACCCACGATAGGTCGTGGAAGCGACATGAGGCGCAAGACCATCATCCGAGACGGATTCAGCGACGATCGGCTCTTTGCAAATCACTGCCGGAAATTCCGCTCCAAATTCCACGACCTCGCTCATAGTCTGGAGGCCGACATGCGAGCAGCCGTCGCCACGCACCTCGCCCTACTCCAGAGCGACTTTGATACCGTGAAGGACGAGAACGTGGCCCTGGAGAGCGAACGCCATCCCGAGTTCCGCCAACGACTCGAGACCGCGGTGCGCGATATGAAACAGAGCATGGAGCATGTGAACTCGGTGGTTTTGCGTTTTGGCGGGTCTACCGCTTGAACAGGGAGAAACGGCGTCCGAAGAACAGCTCCAAGCGCTTGGTTTTGTGATTGTATATATGCCCATGTTTTGCGGACACATACCAGGAGCACGGCATATTGTCGAACCAAGTTTGGTAGACATTGTCCAATTATAAACGCTAATTCGAAATGTATGTATGTGTATGTTCTTGGTAGCATATCTACTTGGTAGCTCCATGAAAACATGGCTTTGTTGACCCTTTTCATTCTCGGGTCTGGGTAAACCCCCCTGAGTCTTTTCAGCCGCGTCACGTGGCCTGAAGCACATCCTTTCTTCCCACTGTCCTTTTGCAAACATCCCTTTTTGGACATAAAAACCTCGTGGAGCAGCAAATGTCTCATGTCTCATGTCTAATGTCTGAGGTGTGAGGTGTGAGGTCTCATGTTCTTTGTTCGAGCCACGCGCTCGTGATGGCATTGAGTTCAGGGGAGGGCAAACGCGTCTCCGCGAATGTGACCACGCGACCGGGGGACGGACGTGATGCACTTGGTACAGGTGGACATGGACAGACACAGAGGCTTACGACACTGATTGCATTTACAATTCGATTTAAAAACCTCGATAAATCGAAGCAGGGGGACGTTGATCACCCCTCCAACACCAGAAAAAAACTACTGTTTTCTTAATTCATTCATTCATTCATTTCCGTACAAGTTTGTCAAAGGGCGAGAGATGAGGGAATTGTAGACACAAAGGATATGGACCACTGCATCCATGGAAGTGAAAAGAGTGAATGCCGTGGTGAGTAAGGTGTCGGTTTGATCTTCTTTGCATCAAAATAGGCAGACATTATCCTGGTGATGGCTCTCCGTGAATGGAAAGGGATAAAGGCCAGAGTGTTGGCAAAGGTGGGTTTTGCGAAGTTTGTGGTTCTTCTTTGGGGTAGGGGGGGGGGGGGGGGGATGTATTGGGAGTAAAAGGCGATGGTCATGATCATGATCATGGTGGAAAGGGGAGAGGAAGAAGGAAGGGGGAAAAGAAATGGGAGTTGGCTGGCTGATGATGCCTTGTTGATTTTCAAATCTTTTTTTCCGTTGATCCTCATTACTGTTTGGAGAGACATGACATGATTCCAGGGCATCGCTCATGGACGACATCATGGTCCTGCTATACCACGCTACCTCGAACCGGGCGAGACTCGTGGTTTCTTCAGCAGGCATTGCGTCTGAGTCTATTCATCGGGCACTGTCGTACACAAGTTAGTAACAGGAGACAGGAAAGTGTTGGCAGTCCAAATGTAAGAAACTGACCCTCGATCGACCCTTCCTTGATCTCATCACTGATGTCCTTGGGACTTCTCCCGTCGACCTGGCAACCCACACTGAAGCAAGTGCCGAGAATTTCCAAAACTGTGCCTTTCAACTCGCGAGCGAGCGACTTGTTCGCACCACGCATGGTCCGGGCAATATCGAAGACCTCTTCAAGAGGGATCGACTTGGAGTGTTTGATGTTCTTCTCCTTCTTGCGGTCTCGCGGGGGCTCTTTCAGAGCTCTGATAACGAGTGATGAGGCAGAGGGGACGACGCTGACGGCAGCTTGTCGGTTTTGGATGGTCAGCTTGACGGTGACACGGAGACCTTTCTATAGAGACACAAAAACGTTAGCTGATTTGTCCGGACGCAGATAAAGCTTGTTATGGAAACACATACCCAGTCACCAGTTGCCTTTGCAATATCTTCTCCGACCTTCTTGGGTGAAAGACCGAGGGGGCCGATCTTGGGAGCGAGCGTGGCAGAAGATCCGACCTCACCGCCAGTGGCGCGAAGGTGGCTGTCAGAAATCCATGTCAGTCTCTTGCAGACTGGAGTTTTGAAGAGTAACCATACATGATCTTCACCTCATTGGGATCTAACTTGGGAGCTGAAGAAGTAAACACATGTTAGCCGCCGAGCTGATGCTGCTCAAGAAGACGATACTTACGCATGGCGAGTGCGAAAGGTAGTCAGTCTCTCGAGGTGATGGTTGTGAGCTGGAGGATAGAAATCTCAGGGAGGAGTAGTTCGCGAAATTGAACTTGACTAGCAACTTTTTTCGGCGAATGCCAAGACTTCAACTTGTGGGTGAGATTATTCCAAATACGGAATGGTTGATATGGCTTGGGAAGTAACTCTTGGCAGGTACAAAGCACGAGGGATCGCGTACAGCGGCACATCTGTTACGTTTCATTTGTGCAAACTCATTTCATGTCATGCCAATTTTCTATCAGTATCTGCCCCCTCAACTCAGTCGCTTGTAAAAAGAGCTGCGGCCACCCCCAATGGACAGGTTCCTGCAGGAACGTCCGAGATGCGTGGCTAATGTCGCAAAGATAGAGTCCCATGTGCCCATCCACAGTCATTATTGTTGCTCCTAGCGCTGTCTCTAGGTAGACCCAGATACCGCCAGTCTGGACCGGATTAGCGAATGCCCAAGGCTATAATAAGGGGAAACTTACTTCATCAGATGGTCCATGAATGTCTGCAATGACACATCATCAGTGAAAATCGTCTGGGCAGACTGCGAAACTCCGCCGTAACCACCAGTCGCGTGGGTGGTTGAAGGATTCAGTTTCGACAAGAGGAAACGGGCTTGTGAACCTCCAGCATCGCAAATAATAAATCGCGGCAGAGGAAATCGGTCCTGGACGAGTTCTCGTGCGTCTTCCTTTGGTGCGTCAAGAACTGCCCGGAAGTTCTCATAGCCTTCTTGGTCCTGATAGCCGGCTTTACGCCACTCGGCCATAGTTTCACCATGGAAGATGAGAATCTGGAAGAAAGTATCGAGGAGTAGGATGGTCTGTGGCTGGATGGAGGCGGAGTCGAGCAAGACCGGCTGGCCACCTTCATGGTCCAGACCATAAGAGTCCAAGGTGGGTTGAATCATGATCAGTGAATCTCCCACATACTCATGGTTGAGCACGTGTCGATAAAATGCCGTCTCGTCGGGCGAGTTGTTAAATACCTGGAGGAATTGTGATCTGCGCAGATGGAACATGAATTGAGGATAGAGGGTAAAGTTCTTGTCCAGTCGGAAGGACGTTGGGTCATCTTTGCGATAGTCTGCAAACCGTGAGCAGAGCCTGATGAGCATTCGGTCCACCCATCTGAGGACATCTGGCCCATCGTCAACCTCTGCTTTAAAGACCGCAATCCTTGCCATAAGCACGGCAGCGGCCTCCTGGTCGAATGACTGTGCCAGTGCTTGGTCACCAGTTGGTCCGCTCAAATTGCGGGCGACAGTGGTCACGCGTAGGTGATACTGCCCAGAAGAATGCTGGTAATACGTCAAAAACTGCATCATGCCCCGTTGCGGGCCTTGCTGCATAGGTGCTGGACCACCTTGGTTGGCAACCTCAAAGTAGATGCCGTAGCTGGATGTGGGATCAATGCCGCACATTTTCCAGAGGCAAGTGTTTCCGATACCACATTCTGTTTCGCCGACAGAGCTAGACTTCTTATTCTGGGACACCGCGTGGCCGATGAGGCCGGTTACCTTGAGCTCTTTCGTGGTAACCACCTCAAGAGATGCATTGAATCCCATCAAGAGGTTGTCGCTTTCATCTTTGTCAAAGACTCGAACAAAGGACTGTTTGAACTGCGATGAGGTGAAACTGTCCGTCAGGACCATATGACCTCCAGTCGAGTTCGCCAATCCTTTCATTTCAAGCAGGCCCACTTGGTCGAGACAACCGACGTATAGATCAATGATGTGTCCATTATGGGCAGTGCGTTTCGCAAGACCATCGTAGAATTTGATTGCCTTCTTGAAGTATTTGACGTTATCACGGTCGATATCATGATGTGATCGAATTGGCTCACGCAGTTCTGGGGCAACAACCATACCCGGCCCTTCAGTGGCCGGACCACCAGCGAAGAGCATGATTCTGGCTCCGGCATTTTGGAACGACGTCTCCAACAAGCCGACCGCAATGCTCATCGCGACTCCGGTAGCGCGAAGTGGCCGGCGGTCGTTCGCGACAGGCCAGGGGTCTTTTTGTAGCTGCTCAATCGCATTGGTGATCTGGAACTCAGCTTGCTGAACTGGAAGGAGGAATCGGGCTGCAGGACCCATAGGCGGAGGTGGACGTCCTTGAACCGGTGGCATATTAGGTCTCAGGCCCGGTGCGGCTAAGCCCAGCATTTCCTGAACCTGTTTTGCGGCATAGTCCTTGCTGCCCCTAAAGACGTATGACTTCTGACACTCGGTATAGCCAATCTCATGCACGGCAACATTGGTTCCGAATGTGACCAGTCCTACCAGCGCATTCGCAGGAAGTAATGACAAGCTCATGACTAGAGTTTCCTTCAACGCTTGCAAGCCATCCTCCTCAATCGCAGTATCAACCACGTAGACGAAAATGGGTGGAGCGGGAGCAGGTCGGGCAAGTTTGTATTCGACAGTGGTGTTCGCGGGGTGCATCTCTGGTGGGATGTTCTCGGCACTTATATCTCCATAGTGACGAGGTAGAGGATTGCGTTGCAGACAGAAGGGACAGATCCATAGTTTAGCCCGAACATCGACGTTAGCGAAGGGGTTGAGGACCGCCCGACATGGCGCTTTGCAGGTAACTGGCTCATATGGAAGTAGTGGTTTGCCCAGTTCCTATCAGATCGTCAGCACAATGAAAGGATTCCTGATCTCAGGGCACTCACTTTGAGCGGAGTGAGCAAACAGCTCACGGGGACCACCAGTCGGTTTGCTTCCTGATAAATAGCTGTTAGTATGAATTCAGATACGGCGCGGAGACTCTTTTAGTACCATGCGCGTCGATGGAATGACATTCCAACTGAGTCTGACGCCATCTCTGTCCTCAACCTCCCCCCAATTGTCCTTGATCGCGTCGTATTGAGCCTGGTCCATTGTCGTCGGTGTATCTAATCTGTCACAAACACATGCTGATGGAAATCGGTCTGAGTGAGGGAATGGCTTGAAGATGGAACCGCAGGCTGCTCGTCGGTCTGGGCTTATAAAGGGCGGGAGAAAGCCACCTAGCTATTCCA